TTTTTTTTTTTTTTGCTTTTTGGGTCACACTCGGAGATGCACAGGGGTTCCTCCTGGCTCTGCACTCAGGAATTACTCCTGGTGATGCTCAGGGGACCCTATGGGATGCTGGGAATCGAACCTGGGTCAGCCGTGTGCAAGGCAAACGCCCTACTCGCTGTGCTATCGCTCCAGCCCCAAAGCTGGCAGTTTTTGATATTTAACTTTCGGGAAGAAGGCAGGATGACCCTTTTATTTATTTATTTTTCGCTTTTTGGGTCACACCCAGTGATGCTCAGGGGTTCCTCCTGCCTCTGCACTCGGGAATTACTCCTGGTGGTTCTGGGAGGACCAGATGGGATGCCGGGGATCGAACTCAGGTTGGCTGTGTGCAAGGCAAACACCCCACCCACTGTGCTGTCGCTCCAGCCCCAAGGTCAGAATGATTAAACAAAGGTGACAGCTCTTGCCTGGCATGCAGCTGTGGCTGTGGGCTGTGACACTGGTTCGAATCCCAGCACGGCATGTGTTCACCTGAGCACCACCAGGTATGCTCAAAAAAAAAAAAAAATCCCGCTGCACTTTAGGACAGCTGCCTGGTTTTGGGGGTCAGGTGTTTGGGGGCGTGCAGTGCCTCTCGCCTCTGCGGGTCCGAGGTTGCTCTTCCGTACTCAGTGTCCGTAAGCCGGAGCCCTGCCCCCTCATGGAGGCGTGAGGCTGTCCACGGGCCGGGCCAGCAGAGCACGGGACCCCCATGCCGTGAGCGCTGCAGGGGCCGCTTGTGACTCCCAGGCGGCCGACCCGCCTCTTCCCCGCGCCTGCAGGTGGAGAACTGGAACCCGCTGACTGACACGGTGCCCATCCACTCCTGGATCCACCCGTGGCTGCCGCTGATGCAAGCGCGCCTGGAGCCCCTCTACTCCCCCATCCGCAGCAAGCTGTCCAGCGCCCTGCAGAAGTGGCACCCCAGCGACTCCTCGGCCAAACTCATCCTGCAGCCCTGGAAGGATGTCTTCACCCCGGGCTCCTGGGAGGCGTTCATGATCAAGAACATCGTGCCCAAGCTGGGTAAGGGGCAGGGCCGGGCTTGGGCCAGCCGCCCCGGTGGTGGGGGGCAACTGCCAGCTCCCAGTCTCACCAGGCTCCTTCCTGCCGCCGCCTCCAGCAGCCAGCAGCCCGCCACCAGGGCTTCTGGCTGGGTGGGCCTCCTGCTTCCTTCTCTGTCTGGGCTGGGCCGTGGTCCCAGGAGAACCACTGGTTTTCAGAAATGCTGGCATCTGATTCTTAGTATGTGCTGGTACTTTTGGTTTTGGTTTTGTTTTTGCTCTGGGGTTCCTCCTGGCTCTGCACTCCGGAATCACTCCTGGCGGTGCTCGGGAGACCATAGGGAATCCTGGGAATCGAACCCGGGTCTGCCGCATACAAGGCAAACATGCCCTACCTGCGGTGCTACTGCTCTAGCCCCTGCGTTGGTACTTCCTGGGTTAGAGAAACCGGTATCTTTTATGTATTTTTTCTTTTTTTTGGTGGGGGGGACTACACTTGGAGGTACTCAGGGCTGACTCTTAGCTCTGTGCTCAGAGATCACTCCCCATGGACTGGGGGGACCACATGGGTTCCCAGGAATCGAACCAGGGTTGGCCACATGCAAGACAAACACTTTACCCACTGTACTACCTCTCTGACTTCTATTTACTTTTGTCTAATCCCCGTGAATGACAAAGTTATTCGTGAGCGGGTTTCAGGCTTACACTGTTCCAGCACCAATCCCTGCACCCGTGACCATTTCCGCCCACCAGTGTCCCCAGTTCCCCTCCCCAAGCCTGCCTCTGTGCCATACTCTCTTTTTCTTTTTTTTCCTTTTGGGCACTGTGTTTCATCGTGGTGTTGCTGACACTCTCTTTCCCTCCTTTCCGTACCTTCCAGATTGACCCCCCTCCCTCTGTCATTGTCCTAGAGGGCCCTCCCCAGCCTCCCACTAAGGGCCAGTTCTCCCGTCTCTGTTGCCTTTGGGCATTAGTTCCCCGCCTCCCTCCAGTTTCTTTATACCCCACATATGAGTTAGATCATTCTGTGTCTGTCCCTCACCTCCGACTCGTATGTCACGCAGCAGGACACAGGGTTCTTTAGGGATCGCCCAAGCGGGTCCCCGACGGCCGTGCGGTGAGGGCTTGGCACTTGCTCAGAGCTGCTTCTCTTGCAGGAATGTGTCTGGGGGAGCTGGTCATCAACCCGCACCAGCAGCACATGGACGCTTTCTACTGGGTCATCGACTGGGAAGGCATGGTCTCCGCCTCCAGCCTGGTGGGGCTGCTGGAGAAGCACTTCTTCCCCAAGTGGCTTCAGGTTGGCTTCGTGGTGGCGCGGTTTAGTGGGGGGCTAAGGGGACTGTGTGTCTGTGTGTGTGTGTGTGTGTGTATTCCTACTGGGTGGACCTTCATGCAGGTCTGTTAGCATTGTGTGTGTGTGTGTGTGTGTGTGTCCACTGTGGCCTCTGTGCAGGCCTGTTAGTGCTGTGTGTGTGTGTGTGTGTATTCCTACTGGGTGGACCTTCATGCAGGCCTGTTAGCACTGTGTGTGTGTGTGTGTGTGTGTTTCCACCTGATGTGTCTCAAACAGGCTTGTTAGCACTATGTGTATGTGCTGTTAGCACTGTGTGCTTGTGTGTGTGTTCCCCACTGGATGTCCCTCATGCAGGCTTATTAGTATTGTGTGTGTGCTGTTAGTACTGTGTTTGTGTGTGGTGGTGGTGGTGTGTATGTGTGTGATGTGTGTGTGTGCATAGTATATCCCTACTGAGTGGGCCTCCATGCAGGCCTGTCAGCACTCTGTGTGTGTGTGTGTGTGTGTGTGTGTCTTTACTGGGTGGGCCTCCATGCAGGCCTGTTAGCACTGTGTGTGCTGTTAGCATATTGTGGGTGGGTGGGTGTGTCTCATACAGGCCTGTTAGCACTGTGTGTGTCCAGTGTGTGTGTATGTGTGTGTGTGTGTGTGTGTATGTATGTGTGTCCAGGTGGTGTTTTGGGGATTGGGACTCTGGCATCCCACATGGTGGGAGGCCATATCAGGGCACTATGCCGAGTCCAAATGTTTCTTTTTTTTGGGGGGGGTTATGGATTTGGGGTCAGCCCCAGAGGTGTTTAGGGGTCACCTGTCCTGGCCCTGTGTGGCCCCGCCTTACCGTGCTCTCTCCGGCCCGCGGGGCAGGTGCTGTGCTCCTGGCTAAGCAACAGCCCCAACTACGAGGAGATCACCAAGTGGTACCTGGGCTGGAAATCCATGTTCTCAGACCAGGTGCTGGCCCACCCGTCCATCAAGGACAAGTTCAACGAAGCCCTGGACATCATGAACCGGGCCGTGTCCTCCAACGTCGGTGAGTGGGGGCCTGAGTGCTGGCGGCAGGACACAGGCAGCAGAATCTGTTTGGGGGAACCCACAGCTTCCTGGGGCGCTCTACCCGCCGTCCGGCAGACTGTGACAGGGAGGGACAGTCCTTTCTCCCTGAACAGGACCGGCCTCTGCACTCGGACCATGTGGGTGTCCCTCCGGCGTCCACCTGAGTCACCCGTCTGGGGCCATTCTTAGGGCTGACTCGGGGGCCACTCACCAGCATGGGGGAGGCCCCTGCAGGGTCAGTGCCGCCAATGTGGGGGGGGGGCTGCTGTGCTGATGCTTTGCGGCTGCCTCCCCCGTGGGCCCGTGCGTGGCCTGCTGCTTGGCTGATGGAGCAATCTGGAGGGACCGAGTTAGAGGCCCAGCTGCCTCGGTAGTAAGATCCACGGGCTCTGATGTCAGGGCAGTTCCCTTGGAGCAGCTTGGCGAGGCCTGGAGCGTTCAGGCTTGCACGGCTGGGACCAGCTGCACGCCCGGGTCCGGAGTCTGCCTGTCTGGGCCAGTCCCTGAGACCTGATGTTGCAGGTTATGTAAGATACTCACTGCCCACTGGGACAGGGCACCTCTCTGCTGTCTGCGCCATCTCTACACGCTAACGCAGTTCTCCGCTCCTCCCCACAGACCCCAGACCATTCCCCACCTCGCCCTCAGCCAGCCCATGACCTGGACTGTCACTTTCCACACCTCATTCCCGCCCCAACCCCCACACGGTTCTGCATCTTCCAGGGTGGGGAGGGGAAGCCACAGCTGAAGTGAGCCCAGGGTGGACTCTGCCGTGTTTTTTTGTTTTTTTTTTTTTTTTGCTTTTTGGGTCACACCCAGCAATGCTCAGTGCTTACTCCTGGCTCTGCATTCAGGAATCACTCCTGGCAGTGCTCCGGGGACCCTATGGGACGCTGGGAATCGAACCCAAGTCGGCTGCGTGCAAGGCAAATGCCCTACCCACTGTGCTATTGCTCCAGCCCCTCTGCCGGGCTCTTGAGGACCCCCTGGGCTGCAGCAGGAGCAGCAGTCGCACTGCCCAGGGCCATGGTCTCCAGCCCCGACAGGGTTAACGATCCCCCTGCTGCCTCAGGAGCAGCCCGGCTGGGCTTGCCCGTCCTCCCGGGTCGGGGCACCTCTCAGCACTCCCCTGCCCTCCCCAGGTGCCTACATGCAGCCCGGAGCCCGGGAGAATATCGCCTACCTCACCCACACGGAGCGGAGGAAGGACTTCCAGTACGAGGCCATGCAGGAGCGGCGTGAGGCCGAGAACATGGCCCAGCGGGGCATCGGCGTGGCCGCCAGCTCCGTGCCCATGAACTTCAAGGACCTCATCGAGACCAAGGCTGAGGAGCACAACATTGTCTTCATGCCCGTCATTGGCAAGCGCCACGAGGGCAAGCAGCTCTACACCTTCGGCCGCATCGTCATCTACATCGACCGGGGCGTGGTCTTCGTGCAGGGCGAGAAGACCTGGGTGCCCACCTCCCTGCAGAGCCTGATCGACATGGCCAAGTAGGCCGGACCTCGCGCCTCCTGGGGGGGGGAGCAATGAACACAGGCCTCCTGCTGGGGAGTCAGGCCAGGCTGCCCGGGAAGGATGTAAAATAAGAGACTATTCCTTTGGAAGGGTGTGGGTCTTTATTAATTTTAACGGGGGTGGGGGGGGTGGGGTCGGGTGCCTCCCCGGCAGTGCTGGGCGGCCTGGACCCACTCCCAGCATTACTGTCCTGGCACGGTGGGCCTGATGGTTTAGGGCGCAGGGCTGGTGGTGCTGGGGCCACACGATGCCCGAGACCGAACTGGCACACGTGGGCACGTGGCTCCAGCCCTCTGGGCCATCTCCCCAGCCTCTCACGGAAGCTGGACAGATAGTCCAGTGGGTACGGCGCTTGCCTGGTATGCGGCCGACCTGGGTTCAGTTCCTGGCATCCACATGGTCCCACGTGCAGCGCCAGAGTAATTCCTGAGTGCAGAGCCAGGAGTGGCTCCTAAGCACCACTGACTGGCCCCAAAAGCCAAAATACAAACAAACAAAAAACCCGCTACAGAGGCATCACGCGGCACTGCAGTGGGGGCCTGCGGATGACTTGGGGTCCAAGCCCAGGGATGTGCTCGTGGACTTGAACTCTCCCCCAGGTCTAAATCTTTGAAGAGCAAAACGGAGCTGAGCTGCAGCTTTCTCGGTGAGGAAACTCGCCCTCTGCAGAGAAGGGCATTCGCGCGGCCCCTCCACGTCCACGGGCCTCAGCCGACACCCAGCCCCCACGGCGGCTTGAGTCAGGACGCTCGCTCGTTCCTGATGATCTCCAGGTCCTCGCAGTCCCTGTAGTCGGGCTCTTCCCGATATGCCCAAGTGTCCGCGGGGAGCTGCCTGAGCTTGGGCTCCGGGAACCAGTGGACGGAGGTGTCGTTGAACGTGTCCGAGTACTGGGGCGTCTCCGGAATCCTGAGTTCCTCCAGTCCCTGTAAAATCTGAGCAGAGAAATCCAGCTGGGAAACACTGACCAGTCACAGGGAAGTCGCTAGGGCTCTGGGGATGCTGGGCTGTGGCAGTACAAAGGGAATCGGAAAACAGAACGCTCTCTAGAGCACTGAGCCGCGAGGGAGCTCACTCATGGAACAGGGACTCATTCTGCCTTTATCTGGCCCCTGAGCTGTTTCCTCTAACTTTAGCGTGAATTCCTGACCGACCCTAAGGGAGAAATCGTGAACGCACACCCTTTTCCATCCCAGTCACAAGATACCTTTGCAATGTAGGGATAGTTCTTTTGCAAGATCCTTGTCAACATCCTAGAAATAAAAAAGTTGGAAACACAGAGTCAGTTATTTAACAGAACCTGGAAGACTCCAGCAATGGCCCGTTTCCTGGAGAGTAATGAGAGCAGCCATCAAGCCTCGGGACTAAGAAGGAGGTACAGCTGGGGAAAATCAAATACGGGGCTGGGGCGAGTGGATGGGGCAAGGTGCCTGTTCTGTGTGTGGCTGACCCCGGTTCAGTCCCTGGCACAGCATGACCCCCGAGCACTGCTGTGTGTAGGCCAAATTGCCCTCCCCACAAAATGCTTCCCTCATATAAAAAAAAAAAAGTCCATCGCAAGCCAAGGGAGGAAGTGCGGGGACTCCTGGGGTGGCAGAGCTCAGGGCAGTGACGCATGAGACCGATTCCCGGCACTCTCCCCAACACCCCCAAGCACCACCGACTGGGAACATTAGAGCAAAGACAGAAAGAACTTTCTTTTTAGTTTTCAGGTCACACAAGGCGACGCTCAGGGGTCACTCTGGCTCTTCACTCACGAATGACTCCCGGCGGGGCTTGGGAGTAGATGGCATGGGGGGCTCGGCAGTTGGGGTTGGCAACGTCTGTGTCAGCCTGTGCCCCAGTGTCTTCATGTACAGGTGGTCGGGGACCCGTCTTCTCTGGGCTTCGCCTTGAGGGTTGGCCCAGGGCCGGGGCTCACCTGTCCTGGAGTGCCCCGAAGCTGTTCCCGATGATGAGCATGTGGGAGAGGGCGTCAGGCGACCAGTTCTTCCACAGGAGGTTGTTGTACAGCGCCGTGCCACAGTGTGGCATGTAGAAGAGGGTGGGCTCTCCCGAGATGCTCCGCTTCCCTTCCTGGGGGCGAGGCAGGGAGGGGGGTCGTTCACAAGGGCCCCCCCCCCGGGGCAGCGCACTCGGGCTGTGCCCCCTGCCCTACACCCTCTCTCTCTCTCTCTCTCTCTCTCTCTCAGAGGGAAGTAGGCGAGGGGATCTGCATGGGAACCCCCGCCAGCTCATGTTCAGCAGGGTCGGTCCCACCCATCAGCAGAGCTGGGCCAACCCGAGAGGGATGCAGCGGAGTTGCCAGGAGATGGCCGTCCTGGGGCAGCTGCAGGGCGAGTGCGCGACAATCCTGAGACAAACTGGGACTTGGGACTGGAGCAGCAGTACAGAGGGCGGGGCAGTTGCCTTGCACACGTCCGGTGCACATTCAATCCCTGCCAGGAGTGACCCCTGAGCACAGAGGCTAGGAGCAAATCCTGAGCACCGCCGGAGGTGGCCTCACGCCAAACCAATGGCCTCGAAGTCTGGGAACTGTCAAGTCCAGGAAGACGAAGGACTTGGGTTTCTTTAACAAACGTGGATCACTCACACTGAGAAAGCTGGGGGGCACACTGCGAGGGTTCTGAGCCCCGAAAATGGCAGGAGGCAGTGACCCGGCCAGGCTTGTGTCACTTCCTGCACTTTGACTCAAGCGTGTCCCCAGGAGACACACTGACTGCAGACCACTGCCCTGCAGCTGAAGGCACCTGCCCACGTCTACCCCTGCACGCCCCTCCTCCCTGCAGACCCCCACTCATTGGCCAGTGTCTGCTGAGTCACGGCCTCTGCCCAGGGACCCCTCCCAGCACCCCCCGCCCTAAATAAGCTCCAGGAAAACTTCCTTCCAGTCTTGGTTCTAGGACCTGGCCCTACCTCACCACTTCATTAGCCTGGTTTGCTCTTTGGGCCACAGCCAGTGATGCTTAGGGCTTCCTCCTGGCTCTATGCTCAGGGATCACTCCCAGGTAGCTCGGGGGACCATATGGGGGGGGCCCTGCATGCTGTGTTATCTCTCTGGCCCTTGATTTGTCTTTTAACTGGCTCACCTCCGCCCCCCAACCCCAGCTCATGCCTACACAGGAAGAGGGTCCTAGTGGGACTGTGTCAGCGGCTTCAGGGAGTGATCCTCTTCCCTGAGCCGGGGCTAATGGTCAGGCTGCAGCGGCGGCCAACGCTGGTCTCTGAACACAGACACTAAAGGGCTAACCCCCGGTCACCAGGCAGACACAAAAGCCAATTCAGAGGCTCTGCCTCAGTGTCTTCGACCTTCTGCTTCAGAAGCGAGTTTGTTTTGCCCAAAGGTCTCAGGAAATTCGCAAGGTGACCATTTTAGGGGCCACTGGGGTAGGCTGATGGGGGAGGACAGCTGATGACACACTGGGTTATGCAAAACAGCCAGGTGCAAGGGGGGCTGGGCGACCACTTCAAAGAGGAGATAAGGTCTGTCCCCCTATTCCCTCTCCTGGGACAGGGTCGGTGCCAGACAGCCAGACCCCAGACCCCATCTGAGGTAGTGAGACTGTGTGCCTGCTACTTGGGGGTGTGTGGGGGTGGTACTGGGCGACACCCAGTCATACTCTCAGCACAGTGCTTGCTCAGGGATGGACTCCGGGCCTCCCGCACGCAAAGAAGGCCCTCCTGCCTCCCAGCTGACTGCCAATAACCGATCGATCAGTCAATACCAACTTAGCAAAGTGTCTGGTGGCTTCTCATCGGATTCTGCAGGACCTGCTCGGCTGCGGGCCCTCTGTGCATCCCCTGGGCTGGGAGGTGGGGACTGCCAACTCACATGGCACGGGGGTGGGGGGAGGGGCGCGACCGCAGAGAACTGACCACAGGCAGGATGCGCACGGTGGGGGCAGCTGGGCTAGCAGTGACCCAGCACCCGCCCTCCCCCACATACCTCGTTCTCACTGAGCACTGTCACACCCAGGGCCTGGAGAGCCGCAGTCTCACAGGGGCTGAACAGGGGGTCGTACACGCAGCAGTGACTCCGGGGAACCTGTGCGAGGGAGGGACATCGGACCCCCACACCTGCATGCACCTCCCTGCAGGCGGCGGCCAGGAGGGGCCCCAGGATGCACCCCAACGCCGGCACGCACATGGTGAGGGATCCCCCACCTCAGGGGGCAGCCAGGAGGCACCTCACGACCTACCTGACGCTTCTCCAGGAGGAGAAGCAAAAAGGCCAGCTGGTGCCGGGCTATGACGCAGGTGGCGAAGTTCCCAAGGCCGTAGCACACGCACTTGAGGGGGCCACGGCCCGGGCGCGCCCCTGGGTGGGCCTCAAGAGCGGCGGGCGGCTCCCCAACCACAGGCTCAAGGCGCAGGTTCCCAAGGGCTTCACAAAGAGGCACTGTGGGGGCGCTCGGCTGTTCCAGAAGCTTTGAGAGACCGCTGCCGATGGCCTCTGAAGGAGCAAGGCACAGACTGGTGTCAGAGGGCAGGCGCTGGCCTTGGGAACCAACACACCCGTGAGGATTCCGTGGACAGAAGCAGAGCAGCATCGGGAAGGCCTTGCCCCTCCGACATCACTTGAGTGGGCTCCTTACCGGCCTCTCAGACAAAAGGGGGGGGGGGAATCCGTGGAACAAAGAGGCACCGAAACAGAAACAAAAAGCAAAGAGCCAGGCTTTTTTCCACAATAAGGTAGCAACTGAAATGTGTCTTGAACTAGAAACCCAGGCTTGGTAAGGTTATATGAGAAGCTGGTTTCCGCCCTTGCCCGTCAGTCCGTGGAGAGGCAACTCAATCAATACCGAGCACACGCAAAGCAGGCTTGCCCGCAGTAGTCCCAGGTCTCATTCCCGCCACTGTGTGGTTCCCCAAGCGTGATCTGAGCTCTGAACCAGGAACGGCCCCCGAGCATTGCTGGGTGTGGTCCAAGAAAAATCAGAAGTGAAAAAAATGTGGTGGGGGCGGAATGCATGCTAGAGTTTCCAAGCACTGTCAGGAGAAACCAGAACACTGAGCCAGGGGTAGCCCCTGAGCACTTCTGGGTATGAGGGAGTTGGGGAGGAGGGGAAGGGGGGGAGGAGGGGGAGAGGGAGATAGGGAGAAGGAGGGGGAGGGAGGGGAGAAGGAGGGGGAGAGAGGGAGAGAGAGAGGGAGAGAGGGAGAGGGAGGGAGGGAGGGGCAGGCTAATTGGTAAAACCTTTCAGGAGAACCAGGTTACTCACTCACTGCCTTTCACATGGGAATGTGTCCTTAAACAGTCACCCTAACTTTGGAAGAAGCCTTATGCATATAGGGACTCTGCAAAATAACATCAGTAACTAAAACCAAAGGAAACAAATTCCAAGTCACTCACTGGCAACAGGGCTACAATAAAATGTTTCCATGTCTAGGACCTTATCCTGAAACACCTACTCTAACTTTGGAGAAAGCCTGAGGCATAAAAGGGGGCTGGCTGCAAAGTAACTTATAGTAACTAAAAACCAGGGAAACAAACTTGGCAACAATAAAATGTTTCCATTTCTAGGGCCTAGTCTAAGAAAGCTATTCTAACCTTGGAGAAAGCTTGCCACAAATAAGGGATCTTGCTACAAAGTAACACACAGTAAGTAAAAACCAAAGGAAACAAACTTTCCAAGCCCCTCATTGGTAATCCTGACTGCAGTGGAATATCGCTGACCGGGTCCCCCTATGATTTAGAAAAAGGCTGCAATTGCAGGCGAGGGTAGTGAAAAGGAACAAGAGCAGGAATAATAAACATTTCATCCAGGAGACCACAAACATCGCCTCCCATGGCCTGGACAGCCTCCGGTCAGCCTCAACCCCCCCACCCCCAACCCCATAGGGCATCTCAGTGAGGTCAGGGTTAGGTAAGGACACAGAGCCAGCTCAGTGAGGTGGGACAACATCCAAGGAGGTGGGACAACATCCAAGGAGGCGGGACTTGTCTCCGCCCACAACTAGGCCCCAACCCCAACTGCTATGGGGTACCTACCTAGCGCAGAGCTCCAGAAATCAGAAAGCAGCAGGTCTTCCCTACGGAAAACAAAACAAAAAAAAAATGGGCCAATCATTGCGCGTCATCTTCAGAGCTGCTCCCCTGACCACAAGCTGGATGCGGAGAGGGAGGTTGGCTCACCCCAGTATGCAATGCAGGTGGTCAGCAGGTCCGGGGCACATACTTCAGGGGGCAGGGAGGGGAGAGCTGGGAGAAGACCCCAGTTCCACGCACAGAAAGCCATAGACTGAGCTACAGAAATGATTGTTAAACACACAGATGCTGCCTGGCCGAGCATGTGTTTCCCATCTCAAAAATGGGGACAGCCCCATTCCTACTCTGGAGGGTCAGACTCAAGGGGCAGGGTTCAATCAATAACCCCCATCACTTACACAGGATTCCGAGGGGGAGAACAAATCACAAGTCCCTACTTGATTTGGAATGAACCCATGCTGCCTCAACTTAAAAAATACGGTAATGCACGTTTGAAAGTTGCTGAGAGTAAACCTTTATTTTGGGGCCAAACACGGTCGTGCTTGGGAGTTATGGTCAACTCAGTGCTCAGGAGTTGCTCTTTTCCCCAGCCCTCCCCCTCCAAAAAAAATTCAGAGGTTCTAGAAAAACAGCACACCGGGCAAGCACTTGCTTGCTTTGCATGCGGCTGAACTGGGTTTTTTGGATGTGGCCCCCCAAACAAAATAAAACAAAACAAGCATCTCTGGTGGCTAGAGAGACAGTAAAAGGGATGAGGTGCTTGCCTTGCATGTAGCCAGCCCCAGTTTTATCCCTGGTACCATATATCATCCCCCAAGAACAGAGCCCTTGAGTACTGCTGGGTGTGACCCCAAACCCAAAAATACAAAATATAAGGGTGCTCCTGGAGATGTTCAGGAGACCATGTGGTGCCAGGGATGGAATCTGGGTTTCCAGCATGTGAAATACGCTGAGTCTCTTGAATCATCGTTCTGGCCCGAAGAGAGAAAGCTCAAGAGTTCCCATCACAGGGGAAGGAAGGGCCAGAGCAATAGGACAGCAGGTAGGACGCTTGCCTTGCACCCTGCTGACCTGGGTTCAAGCCCCGACATCCCATATGATCCCCAGAGCACCGCCAGGTGTGTCCCCGAAACCAAAAACCAAGAGAAAGAGGTAACCCTGTTCGGTGAGGGACAGTCACTAACTACATTTAGTTGGATCATTTGTTTGCCATGAAAATATTGAACCCTCTGCTGGGCAACAACAACAACAAATATTATGTCAGTTTCATTTCAATTTGAGAGAGACGAGCTGTGAGTTGGAGCCTTGGCACGACACCTAACAACCACACAGCCTCTTTCTGAGCTGGATTTGAACCAGTAAGCTCTAAGCCAGTGTTCAAGCTCCTTAGGGGGAGGGTGTGTGTGTGTGTGAGTGTGTGTGTGTGTGTGTGTGTGTGTGAGAGAGAGAGAGAGAGAGAGAGAGAGAGAGAGAGAAAGAGAGAGCGCACTCCAGTGCACAGGGCACAGTTTCAACTGTTGGGAGATGGCACCAGAAGGAGGCCTGGTTCCTCTCTGCAAAATGGCAGCAGCTCCACAATTACAGGTCGTGGGTAGAAGCAGGTAGGACGCTTGCCTTGCACCCTGCTGACCTGGGTTCAAGTCCCGACATCCCATATGATCCCCAGAGCACTGCCAGGTGTGTCCCCGAAATCAAAAACAAAGAGAAAGAGGTAACCCTGTTCGGTGAGGGGGTCAATGAAGATGTACAGGAGAAATGACAAAAAGGTGCCCACTGTAAGCATTCTCCAAGCCCCTAGGCACATACGTGGTCACCCGGACCTTCTAGAAAAGAGTTCTGCTGCATTCTTTTTCCCCCCCAGGCTCTCTCAGCTTTGACTCACCCCTGCTTTTTTTGTTTTGGGGCCACAGCTGGCCGTGCTCAGGACTCTCCCCTGGCTCCACACTCGGGGATCACCTCTGGAGGGCGCAGGAGCCCAGATGTGTCACTGGAGATAGAACCCAGGTTGGTGGCATGCAAGGCAGGCAAGCTAGCTGTGGTTCTATGGCTCTGGCTCCCCACCCCTGCCTGGTGACCTTCATTCAGAGCAGCAGAGCCTCTGAAATAGTCAACTCTCCTGGGTGGGATCGGTCCTTTTGCTGTTGATCTTCAGTGCTCGCAAAACCTTTCACTGAGTCCTTCAGGAAATGCAAGTGAGGAGAGGAAATAAAACGTAAGACCCAGAGAAGGTAGCCTTGAGGGTGAGCTCCCTCCACCTTAGGCCCTGTTCTGAGGGTCAACTAAAGTGCAGAGCAAGGCAGGGAGTGATGGTGGGCAGGAAGGAAGACAGACAGGCTTTGGAATAATGGGGAGATTTGAAGCATGGGTCTGGGGGGCTTTGGAATCGCTAAGACACGGGCTTGAGTTCCATTTCTAAGCATGGGGTCTCCTTAGGCAGGACTGGATGCTCTATGAGGATCTGACGTGTCGAACGGATACTGTAGAGCAGCATCCTTCACCTTCTGACACCCGCAGACCACCACCTGTCCTGATAGGGATCGCAAACCTGGGGGTTCAACTTTTCTACACCTTAGAACCAGCACGGACGAGAGGTACCAGGCCCAGCGCCGCGCCACTCATCATCACAGGTGCAGTCACGAAGATGACACAAACCCGGTGGTGCTCGGGGCTGAGTCCTGGCCCTGCGCTCAGGGATCGCTCCGGGCGGGCTCGGGGGACCACCTGGGGCGAAGGGGACGGAACCCGGCGCGGCTCCGTGCAGCACACGCGTGCCACCCGCGGTCCCAGCGCTCCAGCCCAGGCCACGTTCTTCCCGGGATGAGCAAGACGCAGCGTCACCACGCGGCGCAAACGGCACCACCGAATACTGGCCCGGTCCGGTACTGGGTGCCAGGCCCGGCTCGGAAGGAAGGCCTGGAGCCCGGAACGCCGAGTCGGAACCCTCGGCCCCGGCTCCGAGTCCCCGAGGCCGGCCCCGGCTCAGGAAGCGTCCCCGCGCCCGCCCCTTCCCCTGCAGCCCCGGGCGGGGCGCGCCCGTCCCCAGGCGCAGACGGGAAGACGGAGGCCGGGAGGGGGTTGGGGCGCAGTCGCCGCGCTCACCCGGCCTCGCGCAGGCGCCGCAGAACGACGGCCACGTCCGCCTCGCGGGTCGCCTCCTCTTTCTCGGGGCTCCGGACCGCCGCCGCCGCCGCCGTCCGCCGCGAGCGCCGCGCAGACACCCGCCAGGGCTCCGGCGCCGCAGCCGTCGCGGGGGCCGCCATGGGGCTCGCGGCGTCGCTACGTCATCACCGCGCGCCGCCTCGCGGGAGCGCCACGCCCCCCAGGCGCGCGACCCGGGCGCTTCTCGGCCGCGCGCACAGACACCAGGTGGGAGCCTGGAGCGCCCCCGCCGGGCCGGCCCGGCACTCTCCCGACGTCATCACCGCGCGCCGCCTCGCGGGAACGCCACGCCCCCAGGCGCGCGACCCGGCCGCTTCTCGGCCGCGCGCGCAGGTACCGGGTGGGAACCTGGGGCGCCCCGCCGGGCCGGCCCGGCGCTCCTGACGTCATCACCGCGCGCCGCCTCGCGGGAACGCCACTCCCCCCCAGGCGCGCGACCAGGGCGCTTCTCGGCCGCGCGCACAGACACAGGTGGGAGCCTGGAGCGCCCCCGCCGGGCCGGCCCGGCGCTCTCCCTACGTCATCACCGCGCGTCGCCTCGCGGGAACGCCACTCCCCCCCAGGCGCGCGACCCGGCCGCTTCTCGGCCGCGCGCACAGACACAGGTGGGAGCCTGGAGCGCCCCCGCCGGGCCGGCCCGGCGCTCTCCCGACGTCATCACCGCGCGTCGCCTCGCGGGAACGCCACTCCCCCCAGGCGCGCGACCCGGCCGCTTCTCGGCCGCGCGCGCAGGTACCGGGCGGGAGCCTGGGGGCGCCCCGCCGGGCCGGCCCGGCGCTCCTGACGTCATCACCGCGCGCCGCCTCGCGGGGAAAACCCCAGCGGCCGCGCGCGCAGGTACCGGGCGGGGGCCTGGGGCGCCCCGCCTGCCCGGCCCGGCCCGGCGCGCTTGCTCCGTCATCACCACGCGCCGCCGAGCGGGGAACCCCGCCCCCGCCGCCAGGCTCGTGACCCGGGCGCTTCTCGGCCGCGCGCGCAGGTACCGGGTGGGAGTCTGGGGCGCCGCGCGCGCCCCGCGGTCCGCAGGCTGAACCCCGCCCCCCACTCCCGAGACCCGAGGGTGCCGGCTGCTCCGGCGGGTGGGCAGCGCCCAGAGTCGCGGGGAGCCCCGAGGGGGGCGGGACCCCGGCCTAGGGCGACGGTTCGCGGGGCCTGGACCCGCCCACGCGCAGCCCCCCGGGGCCGAAGCCCGCGGGGCCCGAGAGCCGCGTGGCCCTTGGCACCCGGTTTCCTATTCCGCTTATCCGCTCACCTGGTCCCCTGCCCCCTCCCAGCCCCCACCCGCCTCCCCTTGGCATTCGCGGGACCCCCCCCCCCCCCGTTTTTGACTCTCGGTGACCTGTCCAGTCCGGCCCACTTGAGAGCCGCCCCCCACTTCTTGTCTGAACTTTCCTGAGACAGACCTGGCCTGGGGTTAGGGCCCAGGACCCTGGGAACCAGGGATGGGGGGAAGGGGAGGGGAGCCTTTCTGACCGCGGGCCTTGACCCCGGGAGCTCAGATGACCCCAGCCCCTTGCGGGCATCGGCTTAAAAGGTTCTCAGATGCCCTGAGCATCACCCCAGGAACTTCCACCCAGACGCATCTTGAGGAGAGGCCTGGTCGCGATCTGATTGGCCTCCCGGGTTCTCCTACTGCTCCTCTCCCGGGAAGCCTCAATGCTCCACCAAAGGAGCATTGGAGTCATCTGTTGGGGCTACCAGCAGGGTGACAGCTGGGGAGCAAGTTCCCGGAACCTAAGCTTGAAGAAGGGCGACATTAGGAATATAATTTTGGAGTCACCTAAGGGGGTCTTGGGAGGTGTCTTGGGACAGGAAGAAGTCAGAGGACTCAATGCTTGCTTTGTCTGTGTCTGCGGAAAGCCCTGGGTTCAATCCGAAGCCCCCGCAGGCCCTCCAGCCCCGGGGTGTTCCCTAAAACACAACCAAACGGTTGTCTTGTGGGACTGTTAGGCCTGGTTTTGGAGATTGTGGGGATGCCACATTTAGCAAGGTGGATGGGTACCTCGCCCTGTGCTTTGGAGCAGTGAGCCAGGTCCGCGAGAGATGGTTTTGGAGAGTAGTGAGAAACTCAGGAATTCAGTGATGCTGGTTCCTTTTGATTCCAATTTTTTTTAAATTTTTAAAAAAATTTTTGGCTTTGGGGCCTCACCTGATGGTGCTTACTCCTGCTCTGTGCTCGGAGAGCACTCCTCACCAACTCGGGGGGCTGTGTGGGGTGCTGGAAATTGAACCCGGGGTTGGCCGTGTGCAAGGCCAATGCCCTCCCTATTGCTCCCACCCCCTGACTCCCAAATCTTGAGTTGCCCGTCCTCTCGTGAGAGTTTGCAGATGATTTGTTAAATCCTCTTTTCTGGCAAGGTGACTGTTCCCTAAATCCACTCCCGTTATGACTACAGCAAGCCCTTGATTGGTCTGGCTGCCCTTTCTGCCCTGGATTTTTCCACAGGTTGCATCTATATTCTCTTCCCATGAGACCTAACTCTTCAAGATAGGAAGGCACTATACTCAGCTCCCCTCTCTTTCTGTTGGAGATTTCGACTTTCTCGAAAGCTTCTTTGAAGTGGCTCATTCACTCACACGCACACCCCCGAGCATCACATGATCTCTCGTGGGTTTCTGAAATAATCTCTCCTTTGTGTGTTTATCTCAGGGCCCAGCCCTCATGCCTGAGCTGGAGACTTCAACACAGAACCTTCTGGGTGGCGCTAGGACTAACCAGCTAGGAATCACGTCAGAGCACCGGCTTTAGCATACGCCTGCCTGGTCGAGCCCTCCTGGCAAAGAACTGTGGGAGAGGCTACTGGGGCTCCCAGAGCAAACTCGGGGGACTGCGGTTTGCCGGGTTTGCTGGGTTTGCTTTACACCCTCTCCTGAAGCGCAGAGAGGCCTGCAGGGGCTCCTGGCCCCACGGGGCCTGCTGAGAAGGGAAGCGTCACTTTCAGGCTGAATGAGCCCCAAGCACTGGACCCGGGGGGTGGAGAACTCGGCCTCCTCCCACATCCGCCATCTGTGGACTAGGGGCCCAGCTGAATGGTCCCTGCCGGAGAGAGAGCAGCCCTGCTGCAAAAGAAAACCCCAATAAAGAGAATGCGGGTGCCTGGAGAGTAAATGGCTGCCACCGTGTCCACCGAGAAGCCGGCGTCTTGGTGAGTGGCGGCTCCTGCCCTGGCCTAAAGCCCACCAGGCTGCGGGGCGGGGGTTCAGGTTCCCTGGAAATCTACAGATGCTTTGGACTCACTTTACCTTGGCGGGGAGGGCCTTGGGGTCCCACCTGGCGGTGTTCCAGGGATTTTGTGCAGTGGCAAGAATCGCATGCCCCTGTAAACACCTGGCCAATCTCTGCAGCCCCTCGCTTTGGATATTTTCTTTTTTTTTTTTTAAGATGTTTTTCTTTATGTTTGTTTTTGGACCATGCTCAGGGGGCGATGCTCAGGGGTTATTCCTGGCTGCTCTGCACTCAGGAGTGACTCCTGGCAGTGCTTGGGGGACCATATGCGATGCTGGGGATCACACCCAGGGTTGGTCGCATACAAGGCAAGTGCCCTACCCGCTCTAGTATTGCTCTAGCCCCTCTCTTTGGATTTTTAATTTTTTAAAAATTTTTATTAGTGAGACACCATGAGGTACAGTTGTAGACTTACAAATTTTTGTGCTTGGGTTTCGATTCAACAATGATCAAATACCCATCCCTCCACCAGCGCCCATTTCCCACCACCACGGATCCCAGTATCCCTCCCACCCCCATCCCCCCCATCCCACCCTGCCTCCGCGGTGTTGTGGTCTGCAAAAGAGGCATTGAGTGGCAGTCATGCTCGGTCCATAGTCTACTTTCAACATGCATCTCCCATCCTGGGAGGATCCTTCTTTGGATTTTCTTAAGGGGGGAAAAAGCTACTTCCCTCAGCAGCCTGATCAAGCATGGGGCTGGTCGGGCGTGTGTGTTTGGGGGTGGGGGGGGCAAGGGACTCTACTCTCCCCCCTGAGTAGAGTCAGGAATAGCCTTTGAGCACCTCCGGGTGTGACCCCACCTTGTCCTCCCCCCATAAAAACCCCTAAAAGATAGCTGTGTCCAGTAACCACCTCTGATCACCTCCCTTTGCGGAGACTGGAAGTGGCGGGTTCTAGAACCTCAGCCCCAGAAGAGGGGTGGCCAGGCTGGCCCCAGAGGGTATTGCACAGCCTCTACCTGCCCCCCCGGCCCCCTCCCAGGGCCCGCACACCCTGGACCTCGCTCCCAGTCTGCTTCAGCAGACACTGACCGTTGGCTGGGCTGAGGCACAGGAAGTCGTGACCTTGCAGGGTGGGGGTCGCTGAGATGGAGCAGATGGAAATGACTCCCCGGGCTTCTCTGCCGAAGTGGAGACCCTGCTTTTCCCCATAAGCGGGGTCACGGGTGGGGGCAGGACCCGGGATGGGGGGCGGGGTGTGAGGCTGTGTTCGAAGCATTTTTGTTCGTGTGTTTGGGGGCCACCCCTGGCTCAGGGATCACTCGTGGCGGTGCTCTGGGGACCCAGAGGTGGTGCCGGGATGGAACCCGGGTTGGTCGCGTGCAAGGCAAGCGCCCTACGCACCATACTACCCCGCCCTCAAAGCATTTTCATGGCGTCGGGATCTGGACTGGCCCCACAGCCTGGTGCCCACCTTGGCGCTGGGACCTGGGATGCTGCTGGAAGTCGAGTTGTGGCTTGCCTGGGAGAAGGCGGGAGCCAGTGAGGGCGGCGGAGCGAGGGCCGAGCCCCGGGAGGCGGGGCCAGGTGAGGGCGGCCACGGCCCCTCCTGCCGGCTGAGAAAGTCCACTGGGGGCGTCTGAGCCACTGTGTCCTTTGCTTCCTGGCCTTAGAGATACACTTCCACTGCCCAGCTGGCTTTGGGTCTGGTGGGTGGGGGCGTCCAGAGGGTTCTGGCAGGTGACAGGAGATTCCCAGAGGCGTAGACAGGGTGATGGCAGGTGAAGGATTGCGCTTGGTGAGAAGACAGGGAAGGTTTGGCGGCACGGCTGTGAACTCTTGTGGGCCTGTTGGCCCTGCAGACTGTCTCCTGCGTTGAAACTGCTCATTACTGTGGGCCCGTTGCCGCCGTGGCCAGGGGCTGGAAGCGTGGAAGAAGGGTGTGGTGGGGAGCCAGTGCCCTGCGGTTAGAAGGGCTGGGCGGGTGCATCTCAGACGCCCCTCCTGGATGTTGGCACCAGAGAGGCAAAGGACCTCCAAATCTCAGACCAGCAGTGACTTTCTGGGTGCTGGGTCTCCCGTGTCTCCCGGGACTGGACGCACCCCTGAAAGCGCCAGATTAGTTTGCGGCCACTGATCGTCCAGCGGGCTTCTCCAGTGGGAGTCACCAGCTTCCCGGCTGGAGACTGGCTGGTGTGTCTTGAAGCCCGGTGCCCAGGTACACGGCAGCATGGCTGCGTTCTGTTCTCTTGCCAGGTGGGATTATTTTTTCCTTTACGATGGCTCAAAGGTAAAGGAAGAAGGAGACCCCACCAGAGCTGGCATCTGTTATTTCTACCCCTCGGAGGTAAGCCTCGGGGCATTTCAGCGCTGGGGCGGGGAGGGGGTGCCCTGTGCCTGAGGCTGACTTCGCACAGTTTTACAGTTTTTCACAGTGGTTCTTTATCCCCAAGACTGGATGGGTTTTACAGTGGGAACTCCTGTCTGTGCTTCATCCAGGCACTGAACACTTCTACTCTGAGTTGAGCAACTATTTCCTGGTTAGGTCTTAAAATTCCTTTCCTTGTTTGTTGGCCACACCCAGCTGTGTTCAGGGGTTCCTTCTGGCTCTGTGCTAAGGAATCACTCCTGGCGGTGCTTGGGGGACCATCGGGATGTCGGGGACCCATGCACAGTCGGGGACTGTGCCCTGCCTGCCCCCTCCTTTCTGAAAGGTCTTGAAATTCCCAGATGACTCTGTTCTCCCTTCTTTCCTGGCCGTCTCGCTCCCTCATGATTTTCCCGCTGCCCTCTGGTGCTTTTGAATTTTGATCGGCTCAGTGAAAATAATTCTTTCTGAGAGACACACAGTAGAGGGGGGACCGTGGGGCGCCCTCGGCCACAGCTCAGCAGTTTACGGACACGTTGTCCACCTTGTGTCACTTGTCCTACCCACCACTCCCAACCCTTGCCGTTTCCCCAAGAGCGTTTGGAAGCAAATGGTAGATCCTGTGTCACTGTTGTCTTCCTCTGACCTCTCCAAAGGGAAGGGGATTTTAAAACATTCTTTTGTAGCTTGTTTTTATGTTTTTACTTCACGCCTGATGGAGCTCAGGGGCTTCTCTGGGTGCGTTGGTCGGGTATTGCTCCTGGAGAGGCTCTGGGGACCACGAGGTGCTGGAGATACCCGGGGCTTGCTCCTCCCTCCCTCTCTCCCTTCCTCCCTCCCTCCCTTCCTTCCTGCTCTGTCTCCCTGGCTCACTCATTGGACTGAAGTTCAGGTAACATCATTCAATAGTACTGACTTATGTTGAGGCAAAAGTTACTGCACCAGGGACCAAAGTGCGTGAGAACCTCCACACTGCCCTGTGTCATCTCTAGACTTCTAGTGCCCCTCTCTTTCCCTCCCTCACCACCTCTCGCCCTACTGCTTGATTGTCTGATTTGTAATCCAGTGCCAATGGTTTTGGACTGCTTATTCTCTGGACTTGTCTCTCTGTGTGCCAACAATGAGTGAGGCCCCCCAGATTTGAAGGACATTTTTTGGGGGGGGTCACACCCGGCGATGCACAGGGGTTCCTCCTGGTTCATGCACTCAGGAATCACTCCTGGCGGTGCTCGGGGACCATATGGGATGCTGGGAATCGAACCCAGGTCCGTCACCTGCAAGGCCTGCCCGTTGTGCTATCGCTCTAGCTCCTGAAGGACTTTTTTTTTTTCCCCTAAGATCATGCCTAACAAGTTTATAATAATAACAATTTCCAGTGCCGTCTGATGTTAACTTATTAAAGTTTTGTCTTTGGTATTTTACAAATCAGTTCGTCCTTCTTCCTTCCCCCTTCCAGTCTCTCTCATTTGGGGGTGGGGGTGTCGGACCACACTGCACTGAGCTGGGGCTGTCCTTGGCTCCACGGTCAGGGATGAGCCTGGCGGTGGTACTCAGACACCGTAAGTGGAGCTGGGGATCAAACCAAGGTTTGCCATGTGTGGGGCAAGTGCTTTATCACGCATCTTCTTGTTCGTTTTGTTTTGGTTCTCACGCCACCCTTGGCATTGCTCAGGGCTTACTCCTGGCTCTGGACCCAGGGGTCACTCCTGATGGGGCTTAGGGGATCATATGTGGTTCTGGGGATCACACCCAAGTCAGCCGCGTGCAAGACAAGCTCCTTACCCGCTATGCTATTGCTCCCGCCCCCACTCTGTCTTTTTACAATCTAGATTCAAACAGGGTCCTCATGGGTTGGGCATGGGTGGCAGAACAGTTGCCCGGCATGTGGGAGACCCTGGCTTCAATCCCTGGCACCACCAAAAAAAAATTTTTTTTAAGGGAAAAAATTATGTAAACTTAGCGCCATTAGAAATAAGTTGGTATTAAATAAGGTCCACGTGGTCCTTGTTAATGTGGTGCTTTAAGTCCCTTTTACGATCTTGCTCTCCTCACCCCCACACTTCCCTGTTTTCCCCATACGCCCTGGCGTGACTGAGAGATCCGGGTCATTTGTGTGGTCCCTGTTAGAGGGTAGGGTGTCCACTACTTCCTCCGGGGGAGCCAGGCAGGGGCCTCTGCCTGGTCTTTCCTTTATACTGCTATAGGCTTACCACCTGCCTAGACGCCTGCTCAGTCCTAGCAGCTAGGAAGACCATTTCCTGCTTTGTCCCGGGGGCCTGGGCCCTGGCCGTCCACGCTAAGACAGACTCGTGGCCGTGCTCTCATTCGGGGCTTGGGGCCAGTCTGGGCTGCTCTGGCCTCTCTGCAGAGGATTCGAGCAGGATGAAAGGCTCGCGTTTCCCCAGCCACAGGCCCGTCATTGTGGAGTTCCCGTTCTGGATGGTCTTCTGTGACGCATCTCTGGGGGTTCCGCATGGCTCAGGACACTGGGCAGGGCGTGGAAGACTTGGTCCAAGAGACCAAAGGATGAGTTGGGTTGTTAGGAAAGGGCCCAGCGCGGGGATAAAAGCAAGGGCCCCAGGCCTCGAGGCAGGGGCTGCACTGCTGAGCCCCCTTCCAGGCCAGGGGTGAGGGTCGTGGGCGTGTTCAGCCCCGCAGCACTCGGGATCCTCCTTCCTGCTTGGGTTTGCAGCCCCTCCAAGTACAGAAAACCTACTTAGGGTGCCCGGGCCGTGTGGAAGCAGCGGTACCCCAGATCTGGCCCACCCTGCCCTCGAGAGTGGCATGCACGCCTGACCCGCCCAGCTTCCCACTGGCCCTCGCGCTTTTCCCGTAGACCCTGCTCGACCAACAGGAGCTGCTCTGTGGACAGATCGCGGGCGTTGTCCACTGCGTCTCGGACATTTCCGGCTCGCCCCCCACTCTCATTCGTCTGCGGAAGCTGAAGTTCGCCGTGAGAATGGATGGGGACTACCTTTGGGTGAGTTGAAGGGGCAGATTCTGAGCCAGTGGACTCTCCGCTCTGGGGGGCCCTGAGTCTTCAGCCGGGTACTTGGGTGACCAAGCCCAGTCAGGCTCCTTAGATGACTCGCTTGTCCCGCTGCCCCCTTGTGCGTGTCCAATGTCATCCACATCCCACCCTGCAGGTGCAGGTCATAACAGTCATCTCGGTTGTGACATCCCCGACGGACCCGCGTGGCCTGTGGCTGGCCCTCCTGTGAGACACAGCCAGCCCGTGGGCATTCTGCTTTCTCTGAGGCCGTCTCCATCTTTTTCTTCTTTGTACTCTGGAAACTTCTCTGGCCTCTGGGGCTGGAGCGATAGCATAGCATGTAGGGTGTTTGCCTTGCATGCAGCCAACCCAGGTTCAATTCCCTGCATCCCATAGGGTCCCCCGAGCACCACCAGGAGTAATTCCTGAGTGCAGAGCCAGGAGTAACCCCTGTGCATCGCCGGGTGTGACCCATAAAGAAAAAAAAAACTTATCTGGCCTCTCCGCATTTTCTGGGGATGTGACCTTAAAACACTGAGACCTCGAGGCATGTATGTTTGATTTCCAAGATTCTTTCAGAGATAATTTTAAAACATTTTTGTTTTGTTTTGGGAGGCCACACCTGGCCTACTCAGGCTTACTCCTGGCTCTGTGCTCAGAGATCACTCCAGGCGGTGATCAGGGGACTGTATGTGGTGCAGAGGTCAAACCCGGGTCGGCTGCATACCAGGCAAGCACCCAGCTGGCCCTTCTGTCTCTCCAGGCCTCTTTGGGGGAGACATTTGAGTTCCGTGAAGTACTTAGCTCTCAAGCGCCCCTCCACAGGATGGGAGACCCCCTGAGCTTACCCACGGACACCGGTGCACACAGATCGCCAGTGAGCCGATCCTTGGTGAAATACATGGTCTCCGGGGGGCTGACATGATGATGAGGCACGGGGATCTCCAGGGACCATTTGGCGTCCCTGTAGACACCATTTGGTGTCTGCTGTCAGGGGACAGCACATGAGCTCTCACCCCGCTGAGCTGCTCCTTCCTGGCCTGCCCTTTGTAGCCTTTGTTCCGTGCTTTTCCCCGTCAGTCCGTTCAGCCCATCCCAAAGTGTTGGAGGAGTGAATTAGTGCGTGAATTAATGCATGCCTCTGAACAAGTGCAGTGACCACCATGGAGTGGTGGCTTGTCCCTGTTTCCGCGTGTCACAGCAGTACTTTCAGACTTACTGCCAAACATCATTCCCTGTCCACCTTAGCCCGGCCATTGATCTCCTCCTCAGGAGGTCCAGGGACCCCTCTCGACAATTCTTTGAAAATCTCCTGGAGGTTCAAAGCGAGAGTCCAAGAATGCTGTGTTGTGATGCCCTGGAGTGCCGGGGTGCCCAGAGGCCTCTAGGCTGCACCCACTGGTACTCAGGGGAGCAGGGCGCACAGGGACTGAGTCCGAGTCAGCCACGTGCAGGGCGGGTACCCGGCTCCTGCCCTCTCTCTCTCCAGCCCCTCCCCCTCCTTCGTATGTCCCCGTGAGCTGTGTCCAGTTTGGGGCAGCTAAGAATAAGAGACCCAGGAGCTGTCCTCTGAAGGCTTTTTGTGGACTGAATTTTCCTTCCTTGGAGGTAAATATTGGGCATAGAATCACTGGGTCAGAGGGTTCTGGTGGGTCGATTCTCTGAGAAGCAGCCAGACCTCTCCCAGTGTGGTTTCCTGCAGGAGCCCACCGGCAATGTGTGCGGATGTGTTAGCACAGATGCCGTGGGTCTCGTCTTCCCTTCTGGCTGGGGAGTGCTGTGTCACTGTGTGTTTCATTGTCTGTCCCCACTGATGAATGATACTGTCCTTTTCACACACTTAATGGTGCCTTATATAGATTTATTTGAGAAATACCTATCCAAAAGCCTTGGCCCATTTTTAAAATTGAGTTTTCATTTTTTATTGGGTTATAGGAGTTCTTGGGGTGTGTGTGTGTGTGTGTGTGTGTGTGTGTGCGCGCGCACGCGTGTGTGTGTGTGTGTTTTCAAGATAACGCCTCTTTGTCAGATACATATTTTTAAAAGTATTATTTCTCCTTTGTAAATCCTATTAGCTTTTGCTTTTTCTTTCTTTGTTTCTTTCTTATTTTGTTGTTGTTGCTATTTCTGCTTTTTTACTTTGGGCCATTCTCAGTCATGCTCAGGGGCTACTCCTGTCTTTGTGGTTCAGGGATCTATCTCTCCTGTCGGGGCTCAGGGGACCTGATGTAGTGTCGGAGATTTAACTGGGCCAGCCACATGCAAGGCAAATGCCTTTTCTGCTGTACTCTCTCCAGTCCCAGTGGTTTGCTTACTGGTGTGTTTTGATGAGCAGGATTTTTGGGGGGTTTTCTTGGGGGGGCTGGGGAGGGGTCCACACCCAATGGGATGATTCCTGGCTCAGGAATCGCTCACTCCTGGCAGGTTTGGAGACCATATGGGGACCAGGGATCAAACCTGGGTTAGCTGCATGCTAGGCAAGCACCTTGCCTGCTTACTGTTATTTCAGCTTCATGAGCACATTTTCATTTTAACCAAGTCAGATGTATCAATTTTCTCTTTTGTGGTTATTGTTTTCTGTGTCCTATTACCATAAGGAGAAGACGTTTTCTGATGTTTTCATAGGTTTTTATAGTATCAGCTTTTAAATTTTTTTTTTTTCTTTTTGGGTCACACCTGGTGATGCTCAGGGGTTACTCCTGGCTCATGCACTACTCAGGAATTGCTCCTGGCGGTGCTCGGGGGACCATATGGGATGCTGGGAATCGAACCTGTGTTGGCCATGTTGGCTGCGTGCAAGGCAAACGCCTTACCTGCTGTGCTATCGCTCCAGCCCCCTCAGCTTTTAAATTTAGGTCTGTAAATGGGTAGGATGAATCTCCATGTTTGCTGTGAAGTGGAGATCAAGCTTTTTGTCTTGTTGGGTAGAATAAAGTTGTCCCAACACCGTAGGAAAAGGAGAAAAAGTCTCCATTACCTTGGGAATCCTTACACACGTTTTCCCAAGATCGAATGACCACTTAACGGTGGGTCTGTTTCTGGCCTTTGTTCTTTTCGGTTGATACACCTGAGGGTCCTTGGGTCCAGAAAGGTAGTACACAGGTAAGGCACTTGCCTTGCACCCCGTAACCTGACTTCAACCTCCAAAACCTCAGATGGTCCCCTGAGCACTGCCAAGGATTAAGCCCTGGGCGAATGTCCGGTGTGACCCTAATCCCTGTGCTGCAAAATAAATTTGACAGTGTCTTAAAGTCAGGTTCTTGAAGTGAGATCATGAAAGTCTTCCAGCCTCAGTCTTTCTCGAGAACAGAACAAGTTCTTTCTATTTCTTTGCGGAATAATGGAACAGGTAGTCTGTTTCCTGTGTAATAAAATTGTTGGGCATGCTGGAGCCTTCTATGGCTTACTCTCTGTTCCCTGAGGAATGGGTCAGGTACTCTCTATTCCCTGAGAAATGGATCAGTACTCTGTTTCCTGAGGAATGGATCAGTACTCTGTTCCCTGAGGAAAGGATTAGTACTCTCTGTTCCCTGAGGAATGGGTCAGGCACTCTCTATTCCCTGAGAAATGGATCAGTACTCTCTGTTCTGAGGAATGAATGGATCAGTGCTCTCTGTTCCCTGAGGATTGGCTCAGATACTCTCTGTTATCTCATAGACTGGATCAGGTACTGTGTTTCCCGTGGAATAGAATAGGTACTCTCTGTTTCCTTGTCCAATAGAACAGGAACTCTCTGGCCTGGACAGCAGTCACCGTTGCTGTAAGTGAGCATAACAGAATCGGTGGACATGCTGGAGCCTTCCATGGCTACTCGGGTGGCCGGGAAAGCCGGGGGCGCCTGAACAGGCAGGGGCGGGCATTTCTGATTCGGCCCCTGATCAGGCACTGAGGTCCCCCCCCCCCCCCCCCCCGAGACCATATTGGCTGAGTGCAGGCCATGGGCAGTAGCAGGTCCAGTTCTGCAGGCCAGTGAGGTTTGGTTCTGCAGTCCTGGATGCCGGGGCTGGGGTGGGGCGGGGGTTGGGTCCGGGCCTGAGGGACAGGGAGCATGCCTGTCCTGCTGGCTGTCCTCCCTCAGGTGCTGGGCTGCGCTGCGGAGCTCCCGGATGTCAGCTGCCAGCAGTTCCTGGATCAGCTCATCGGATTCTTCCACTTCTACAACGGACCCGTTTCTCTGGCATACCAGGTCTGAGGGTGGCGCTGTGGCCATCTTTTTCTTTTTTTAATCGAATCACCGTGAGATACAGTTACAAAGCTCTCGCGTTTGATTTTTCAGACGTGCAGTGACCAAACACCTACCCCTCCACCAGTGCACATCTTCCACCACCGATGTCCCCAGTATCCCCCCTTTCCAACCCTCCCCCTGCCTCCACGGCAGACAATCTCCCCCGCACTCTCTCTCTACTTTGGGGCTTTATGGTTTACAATACAGATACTGAGAGGCTGTGGCCATCTTGCATCGATTTTTTTTTTTAGCTGGCTGCTGGTGGCGGCACACAGCATTTGTTTGGGGGTCTGGGGTGGGGGTCTGTCCCTCTGCCAGGCCTCCTGGAGCCTCTCAGGGACACAGTTTCCTGGGGCCCGGGGGCACCTCATCCCCGAGCTTGCCCCACTGGGGATGGGGTGGGGGCCAGGAGCACTGGCCGTGAGGCTCTCCCGCGGGTGCCCTGGGTTTCGGGCAGCCATGGAGGAGGGGAGGGGACTGCCACTCCGAACAGGCCCCTCCCGCGGCGGGTGGGGACAGGCTCCCCCGGGCATCTGGGACTGTGGCGCTGATGGGATGTCGGCTGCTGTCTCAGAGCCGTTCTCGGGAGGAGCTGGGCGCCGCGTGGGAGGCCGCCATCCAGCAGATTCTGAGCCACACCGGCGACCTGGACAGGATCTTCAGTTCCCTCTGGACCCTCGACCCCACCAAGGTACCGTGCCTGGGAAGGGCTAGAGCTGCCGCACGCTTCCCCGCTTCAAGCCAGGCTGGGGGACCACCTGGCCCTCGGGCCGGACGAAGCCCAGGGAGTCCCGTGGCCCAGCGCTGGTCTGTGGCAGACAGACACATGTGCTGCCATGTTCACGGCAACCGCCCGTCGCTGTCTGCTGGGAATGGTGTTGTATGTGTCCCGGGGGGCCCTGGCTGGATGGCGGTGGTGGGGAGGGGGTTCCCGCCATGCTTTCAGTAGACTGTGTCTGGGGAAGTGGACAGATGGGGTTTAGCACTGTGAGGCTCGATGTGGTGGCCCAGCCCCTGCCCTGCCCTGATCCCTCACCTTGTAGTAGAATTCGCAGTCCGCACCCTCCAGAGCCTGGTCAGGGTCGAGGCGGTGCTTGGTACTGCATCCTGAGGACCATGGTAGGGGTTCTCTGGGTTTCTCTGGGGAGCTCAGCGCTCTGAAGGCCCCTTTGCTCCTGCCGTAACTCTCCCGGGAGTTCTTCCTGCGCAGCCTCGCAGGTGCCTGGTGCTGGCATTTCCAGAAACGCGGGTGCTGGCTCCGGGTGGGAAAGGTGTGGGATGTCACTGACCTTTGAGCCTGGCCACTGGCCACAAGCGTTCAGAGGCGTCTCATGGGACCGGCCTCCCACCTCTGCTGCCTGGTGCTCCATGTGCAGACCGTTGTCACAGGGAAGGAGATGCAGGCATACCAGGAGAACTGACCACCTCTCCGTGATGGGCACCTCCTGCAGGCTGACCCCTTGCCCAGGACAGGGTGCTGTGGCTCTGCCAAGAAGTGGGGGCAGTTTATGGGGTTTCATGCTGTGGGTTCTGTGTCCTACAGGGCAGTCCGCGGGGTCTGGGTGCTGTCCTGAGGTGTGGCCATATCAGCGCTGGGTTCTAACCACTGACGGGGTTCAGCTGCCAGCCAGGAAACAGGCTTGGGCCATTGCTGGCCATTCCTGACCAGGGTCAATCTGTTCTAGCTTTATATATTGGGGGGGGGGCAAGGGGGTTCTGGGCATGGCCTGAGCTTGGGAGTGTGGAGCTTAGAGCCATGCCCCCGCCCCAGCATGAGGGGGGCTGGAATGGTCCCTGGGGATGAGAGAGGCCTGGGTGCGATTGGGAATGTTCTCTGCTTGTCTAGAGACGAGAGATTCCCAGGAGACACTAAGGGTTGTGTTTGCCGGAAAGGGGGCCCAGGCCGAATCACACCCAGGCCAGATGCCAGGAGCTGGTCCGGGCACAGCTGCTGCGGGGCTGGAGAGGCTGGCCTGTGCCCACATCCCACCCTGGACCAACCCACAGATGGGGCTGGAGAGGCCTGTGCCCACACTGGGACCATCTCACGGTGGGCAGCTGGGTCCTGACCGCCCCCTCTCTGCACTGTGAGCCGTAACCCCCTGCCGCTCCCCCGAGGGCGCTGGGCTGTGTGTGCTGGGCGTTCCAGCATCCAGAGAGGCCTCCTGGCTCTAGGGCCGGCAGCGCAGGGTGGGGAGGGGACTGCGTGGGCCCCTGTCCTGTGGCGAGGCTCTGTCTGAGCCGGTTGCGTTCTCCCTGCCCGCAGGTAGAGCCACTGCTGCTGCTGAAGGCGGCCCTCATCCTGCAGGCCTGCCAGTGCTGCCCGCACGTCCACGCCGGCTGCATCCTCTACCAGGGCCTGTGAGTCCAGCCGCTCCCCCCCCCCCGCCCCCCTCCCCCTGCCCAGTCTGGGAGCCACTTCCATAGAGATCGCAGGCTCAGGAGCTGGGAACTCAGGGCCTGCTGTGTCCAGGGAAGAGCTGGGCTGGTGAGAGGCAGCCTCAGAGCTGTCTCTGGGCTCTGGGGAGGGCCCTGCCCGCCAAAGGCTTGGCCTCTGCCAGCCCTCAGCTCCATGGAACCCAGGAGGCCCCGAGGCAGCCCTGGGAGGCAGCGCCCTTCCTGCTTCAGGACCCCAGCCCTCTGCTCTCTGCTGACCCCTAATGGGCACCTACGGAAGCGCTCTGAGCTCTTGGGGGCCCCAGGGCCTGCCTCGCTGCGTGCTGAACCCATCCCGGCTTCTCTCCCTCTCTGAATACTTTGCCAGTACTTTTATTTTTTTTGGCGGGTGGGGTGGGGGGGGTCACACCAGGTGGTTCAGGGGCCATTCCCAGGGTGCTGCACGTAGAGCCCGTGCCCCTGCCCTCTGGGCCCCTCCTGGGTCCGTCTGTGCCTTGCCCGCCGGGTGTGCTGGCAGCATCTTCAGAGCAGCCTCCACGGCCCGGGTCCAGCTCTGCTCACACCTCCCCGGTCCTGTGTCCGACCCCTAGGATCGTCAGCACCCAGCTCACCCCGTCCCTCACGGCCAAGGTCCTGCTACGCCAGGAGCAGGTATGGTCGCGCCGAGTGGGCGGGGGGGGGGGGGGCACTACCCATTGCCTTCCTCCCCCTCGTGTTGGTATCCCGGTCCGTGGAGGCGGAGGGATGGTGCGTCTCTGCCCGGGACATGGGGAGGTGCTTCTCGGGTTCGCCGCCTCCGGGGATAGCTTGGAGCAAGGCTGGAGGGCCGGGCTGGGGCAGCAGACTCGCTCCAGTCCCGGGCGCTGGGGCTGTGCTGGCAGGCGGGGTTCCTGCTCGTCTGCTTCCCAGGGAGGCACCGGCCTCCGCTTTCCGTCTCTTTCTCTTCACTCTCACCTGGTTTTCCTGAGCATTCGACAAGACCGTTTTGGTTTCGGGGTCACCTGGTGATCCTCAGTACGTGGGATCCCTCCTCATGGTGCTCGAGGTACCATGCAGTGCAGAGAACAGAACCTGGGGTTCCCAGGCATTTCCCCTCGGTCCCCTTGAAGGGGAGATTTGGGGCTTGGGGCCACACGTGGCAGCGTCCAGGGGACCACAGCAGGCGCTGGGGATAGAATTCCGGTTGGCCACGTACAGGGGAAGTGCCCTACCTGCCAGGCTGGCGCCCTGGCCCCTGAAGGTAGCACGGAGGAAAAGGCTGGGAGGGGGGCAGGCACACCCAGCAGTGCTCAGGAGCGACCCCTGGAGGTGCTTGAGGGGACCGTGTGGTTTGCCGGCAGACTGGGCGTGGCTGCGTGCGAGCAAGCCCTGCACCTCCTGTACTCTTTTTCTTTTTTAAAGCAACTTTTTTAAATTTTTTTTTTTCATTTTGGATCACACCTGGGGATGCTCAGGGGTTCCTCCTGGCTCATGCACTCAGGAACTACTCCTGGCCGTGCTCAGGGGACCATGTGGGATGCTGGAGATTGAACCCGGGTCGGGCCGCGTGCAAGGCAAACGCCCTCCCCGCTGTGCTGTCACCCCCAGCCCCCACCTCCTGTACTCTTTCTCTCCCACATTAGCCCCATAGGCTAAGATAAATGCTTCCACATGCATCAGCAGGGACAGTTGGCGCTCTCCTGGGGCAGTCTGGGCTCTCAGGTCGTGTCGGTGGCTGTCTTGATCAGCACTGCTCTTCCGGGCCCCTGTGTGATGGCCCCTGCAGGGTGACCTTCCGTGTTCCCATCATTCCACTTCCGGGAAGTGATTCTCTAGAACTGCCTAGAACACCGAGGTCTGTCTATACTCAAAGCCTGAGCCTCGCTGGGCTGCGGAGTGCAGAGTGGATCCCGTGAGCGTCCGAAAGGAGCCAGTGCAGGGCCAGGCGCAGGCTGTGGACGGTCACCCCATGGGGTGCTGCCCCGGAGCCCAGACACGTGCTCCCTTGGTTGAGAACTTTCCGAGTGCAGGAAGACGAGTCCTTTGCCTGTGCCCTCTGTAGCTTTAAGAGGCTCTGGCCAGTTCCCTGTAAGGCCGAGGCTTTCCTGTGTCTGTGTGGCTGACTTCAGGTGTCCTCAGCCTTGTGGTCTTGTGGGCTGGAGCGATAGCAGCGATAGCACAGCGGGTAGGCGTTTGCCTTGTACGCGGCCGACCCGAGTTTGATTCCCAGCATCCCATGTGGTCCCCCGAGTACCACCAGGAGTAATTCCTGAGTGCAGAGCCAGGAGTAACCCCTGAGCTTCGCCAGGTGTGACCCAAAAAGCAAAAAAAAAAAAAAAAAAAAAAAAAAAAAACCCAGAAAAACCTTATGGGACTGGATCAATAATAGCACAGCGGGTAGGGCATTTGCCTTGCACGCGGCCCACCCGGGTTTGATTCCCAGCATCCCATATGGTCTCCTGAGCACCACCAGGAGTAATTCCTGAGTGCATGATCCAGGAGTAACCCCTGTGCATTGCCAGGTGTGACCCAAAAAAGAAAGAAAGAAAAAAAAGAAATGCACAGGCTTGGAAAGGGGCCCACCGCTCGCTTGAGAGTTACGGGATTTTTGTTGACGGAATTTTTGTCCCGGGTCAGTTTGTGGAGTGAAAGTCATGCCGTGTCTACTACACACCACGTTGGCTCAGGGAATGGTTTTGTAATGTTTGTGTGGGTGAATCCTTTCAAAACCTTTCCTCTGAGGGGCTGGGGAGAGTCACGGCACTTGCCTTGAACACAGAGAACCCCAGCCCGATGCTTATCGCCCCATGTGGTCCAGCTCCTCGCTGAGCACAGAGCCAAGAGTAGGTCCTGAGCACGGCCAGACAGGGTCCAGGCACCCCATCTCCCCACAATTTTTTTTTTTTAAATAAAACCTATGACTTGAGATGCCTGGACTGCTTGCTGGGGACATTTCCAAGCCAGCGACATCTCCTGTGCCAGTGTGTGTGGGTCTGACCCTTGCCCCAGGCTCCCAGGCCCTGCATGTTGGGGTCGTGTTGAATCTGGCATGCGCCCTCTAGCAGGGCAGAGGCGCCGAGCCTGTGTTCTCCAAGATAGGAAGCTCCCTGAAGGTGTCGGAGACCAGAGTCCAGACCCCCCCGTCCTGGCTTTCATCCCCTGGAGGAGGAGCAGAGGACCCCAGGGCCAGGCCTGCGTGCTGAGGTGGCAGCTGCCCCGCGGGCTCTGGGGGCCCCACTCCTCCTGGACCCAGGCAGGGGGTGCAGGGGGCTCGGCTCCATCTGCTTTGTCCTTGGCATGCGGCGGGCACCAGCGTGCTGGGTCCAGATGGCACTGCGCCTTCCTGCTGGCCGGGCGAGGAGGAGAGGGGCCGCCCCATGCCAGCGTCTGTGCCTGCTTCTTTCCAGGGACCACCCCCAGGAGGGGCTGCAGTGCAGGAAGGCGGTGAGTAGAAGGTTCTGGGGGGTTGGGGGGCGGGGAGCAGCTGAGGGGTGAGGACGTGGCTTGGGAAAGGCCCGAGGCGTCGGGGTGCTTTGTTCATGCATGTGAGGCGAAGCGTCCAGAGCAGAGCCCAGGGTAGGGAGAGCTTTCCCGTCCCTTTCCGGAGGCTCCTGCGTCCGGCATTGCGAGGCCGCCCTGGGAGGCAGCGGGGCTTTCTGGCTCCTCACGCAGCCCCCTCTTCTGCCCAGCTTCTGATTCTCGATAGATGCCCTGCCACGCCTTCCACCCAACGCCACCTCTCTCCCGCCCTGCCCAGCCTCACCCCCGGAACGGGCACTGCAGGGACTGGGCAGAGGGCCCCTCCCAGGCAGCTGCCCTCTGAGCTGGCTGTGGGTGGCGCCTCCCTGAGAGCAGGTCCTTCCGCTCTCCCCTCCCCGCGCCCCCCCCCCCCCCCCCCCCCCCGCTCTGGCCCCGGGAGCACCCTGAGCGATGCTCTGCCCTCCTAGGAGCGCCTCTCCCCCGCCACGTCCGCATCGTGCCTGTGTTCCTGACCGAGGCAGAAGCGGCCAGTCTCCAGGATTTCCCCGGGGAGCTGATGACCAGGTAAGGGAGTGTCCTGCCTTTGCCACACACCCTGTTCCCTTGGGCCCCAGGGCTGCCCTCCTTCCAGGATGCACATTCTCCACGCCCTGCCTTGGAAAGAGCTTCGGGAACGCCAGCCCCTAGGGAAGAGGCTGGGCCGCTGTGCTTTGCAGGCAGCCGAGCCGGGTCTGACCCCCAACCCTGCCGGGAGTCAGCCCTGCCTGAGCACCTCCGGGGGTGACCTAGAACCCGGTTCCCTGGGCTGGGCATCACCTGCTGGCGCCCGGCCTCCGTCGGCGTCTGCCTCCCACTGAGCCTCAGGGGGTTCAGCTGCGTATCAGGCCCAGTGATCACTCCTTATGGGCTCTGTGGCCCCAGAAGAAGGCCGCGCTGCGGGGCAGAGCTCCAGGTGCAGGAGGGCGTGACGCAGGGCTGCAGCCGGGCTCACTCGTGGGCCGCCCGCCCCTGCCTGTGCATGACCTGCAGCCTCCAGGCTCCCAACACCACCACCCTGTGCACGGCCGGGCGCCCTTCCTCACATCCCCTTTCTTTCTGCCTTGGCCACCAGCTCTCCTGCACCCGCAGCCTCCCTGCAGGAGCACCCGGCCCAGCACCGGCTGAAGGGCCAGAGCACGTCTGTCCCTGGCGAGAAGCCTGTCCCTGGGGAGACCGCTGCAGCCCGGCACGAGGACTCCGGGGCCTGCACACTGGTGACTCCCCTCCAGCCCCCGGCCCCGGATATGGCTCAGCCGAAGAGCAAGGGAGAGAACGGCCTGCCCGCCTCCCAGCCCACAGCTGTGCCCAGTGCTGACCATGACCCCGGGCCTGTGCGTGGATGCCCCTTGGCTGAGAAATCTGGCTTGTCTGGAGACGACAGGGAGCAGGGCCTGTCTGGAACCCACATTCCCGAGGCTCAGAACCAGGCACCCTCTTCGGGTTGTTTTCTATTCCCTAGCATGAGGGACCCGGAGGCGGGGAGCCCCAGCCTCAAGGAACCAGTTGGCGGTGACTGTGGCAGTCGGGAACCCCAGAACCCTGCGGCTGGGCCGGAGACCCTCTCCCGGGATCAGGCCCCTGTTCCTGCAGAAGAGCCCCTTCCCCCAGGGCCACGTGGGCATCTGTCATCTGCCGAGCGGCTCTCCGGGCCGGGTGGCGAGGCTCAGGGGGCAGGCGCGGCAGCCCCCAGCCCCACGGACTCGGAAGGCGGCGTCCTGGCAGAGAAAAGGGAGGCGAGGTGGAAGGCCGCGCAGCCCGGGGCACTGGTGCCCATGCGACTGTACACCCACTCCGTGAAAGGTCTGCTGCTGGCCCTGCTGGCCGCTGAGCCGCTGCAGGAGGACGCAGCCGCCGTCCAGGAGGTGGTGAGTATATGCCCAACCCCACATGGCCCTGTGTGCACCCGGACCCTCCTCCTCAGGGCCCCGTGTGTGCAGGTGACGTGGGTGGGCCCCACGGGTGGCTCATGTGAAGCGGGGAGGAGACGGACGGTCACTTTCTCCCAATCCGCCTCTGCCGCCCCGGGACCCAGGGTTGCCAGGTTCTCATCTCGCTTCACAGAAAAGAATTTCAGGCGTAGATGAGCGAGGGGTGGGGTGGGGGGGGTGGTAAGGCCAGATTTTATTTGGAGGGTTTCAGAAAGGGGAAGGAGGGGGAGAGAGTGAGGGTAACGCGCTAAAGTGGGTTCTCCAAGGGCCCTTTCCTGGCATTTTGTTCCTGCTAGAGCTTCTGTCCGGGGGATCCAGCCACCTCAGGGTCTGTTGCAGTTCCCTGCCTGTGTGCGGAGCGTGGGTTTGGTCTTGGAGTGGCCCTCCACGCATCCCAGCATTAGGTACAGAAGCGTGAAAGTGCACATCTCAAGAGGGCAGATGTGAGTGGCACAGGTGCTCAGTCACGTGGGCACATGCAGCACATGGGCTCGGGCAGCAATGCGCGCCCCTCCTTTGGTCAAGGGGGCGTTTATAGGGTTCCTCTGGCTTGACCCCACGTGGGCCTTCTACTCAGGTAAAAGTCTGTTGCTAGGGTGGTTGCCTTGGGAGTGGTCCATGGTCTTCTTTGAAATTCCTTTCCTGGCATTTTGCTCCTCCTGGAGCTTCTGTGCAGGGGTGTCCAACCTCCTCAGGGTCTGTTGCAGGCACCTGCCTGTGCTAAGAGCCTGGGTTTGGTCTTTTTTTTTTTTTTTTTTTTTTGCTTTTTGGGTCACACCTGGTATCGCACAGGGGTTACTCTTGGCTCTGCACTCAGGAATTGCTCCTGGCGGTGCTTAGGGGACCATATGGGATGCTGGGAATCGAACCCGGGTTGGCCGCGTGCAAGGCAAACGCCCTGCCCGCTGTGCTATCGCTCCAGCCCCGGGTTTGGTCTTCAGTGTGGGCACAGGTCCCATTCAGAGACCCTGGGCAGTTCCCACCGCCCTGGGCTAGGAGGGCATGAGTCAGCAGCATCCAGAGCTCAGGCTCTTCTCTCTCCACTCTCCTCCTAAGCCTTGTGGGAGAGGGCTCTGAGGAGGAGGAGGAGGAGGAAGGGCAGGGCTGCACCTGCCCCCCACTCTGGTTACTCAGGGGTCACCAGACTGTGCCGGATGGTGCTCAGGGCCTGGCGGGGCCTGGTCTCTGCCACTCCAGCTGCCCTGTGCTCCTGCCCTGCTGGCTCGACCTTCCTTCCTAGGCTGGGCTGCTGGGCTGTGGCCTGGGGGGCTCTCCTCCCTCCCCCACTCCAGGTGTAGGATCCAGCAGGCTCAGGTGGCCTGAAGGCTCTGGCTCCCGAGGCCCCCCTGAAGCCCATCTGCACCTTCCTGGCTCCTGCAGAAGCAGACTGGGGCCTCAGCCCTGCTGGAGGGCCGGTTGCTATGGTAACAGCCTCTGGAGAGCCGGTCCAGCAGGATGGGATTGCTGCGGGCGGGTGGTGTTCTGGGGACGCCTTGTTTGCTTCTTGTCAGTGTTATTCTCAGCGTCTTATTAGCATGCCTGGCAGAGCCCTCCCTCAGGGAGCCGGTCACCTTGGGCTCAGCCCCCGGTAGGATCCATGCCTATGTCCTGCTCCGGCACCCCACAGTCCCCCCCCCCCCCCCCCCCGGGCGTGGCTGTACCATCTCCCAGCCAGCCCCAGGGGTGCAGTCAAGCATCTGCGAGAGCTCTCTCCTACCTTTCCCCCAAAGAAAGCGGGAAGAGACGCAGGGGCAGGAGCAGATTCAGGCAGGCGGTGGCCTTGCTCCGGGCTCAGCCATGGTGTCCGCAGGGGCAGATGCCGTAAAGCCCCCAGGACCGCGAAGAGCAGAGCGGGGAGCCCAGGAAGGCCCCGTTTGCTGCGGGTGATGGGCTGGCGTGTGGCCTCTTCCCCCTCGCCCCCTCTGTCCTGGGCCACGGCGGGTGTGGGCACGTGAAGGAGTGGCCCCTGCCTTCTGCGGACATGTCCCGAGGTGTCCCGCACCTCTGTGTCCTCCGCGGTGCTCGCTGTGGGGTGGGACGCAGGCAGCCCCCGAGGTCACCGGAGAAGGCAGGCCCATCTTTCTGGAAAGGACTCACAACTCACCTTGGTGGCCGGCCTGAAAGCAGGGTCTGTTGCACCGAGCACTATTTCGTAAGCGAAGAGTTTATTTGTTGCCTTCTGCTTGCATGCAGAGTACTTGACCTGGTTTCCCTCCAGCCCGCTGCAGCTGCTGCTGCGTCTGGAATGAGGCCCCACTGGAATGCTAAGCCGGGGTTCTGGCGTGGCGGGCGCAGGCTGCCGGGACCAGCTGCACGTGGCCCAGGCGCCCTGCGTCTCTCCCATCTTCTGTCCCTTTGGTTTGCTGAGGGCAGGGAGCAGGGCCGGGAGCAGCTGGGGGAGGATCTGCGTGGAGAGGGGGCCCCGGCAGGGGGCAGCATCGAGCCAGCGAGCCCTGGTAACGGCACTGACCTTCAGGAGACGTGGAGGCCCCGTGCTCCTTGCCATGACAGGCCTGAGCCGTGTCAGGCACACGCCGGAGCGTGTTAGCAGAAAGAGCTCCGTGGGCACGCGTGAAACTGCTGTTCCGTTTCTTGCACGCGTTACAGCACCGTTGCCGTGCAAGCCCCAGCCTTGCTCTGGACGGGGCAGCCGGGGGTCCCGGCATCAGGCTGACTTCCTCTCTCCCTAGATCCTCTGTGCAGTGACTGTATCGGGTGCCAAGACTTGTGTATGCATGTTTGTTATTTGGTCACACCGGCAGTGCTCAGGGGCTATTCCTGGCTCTGTGCTTGGGGATCACTCCGGACAGGACGTGGGAAACCAGAGTCGGTGGCAGGGATCGGCCCCGGGCCTCGGGGCTCCGGTGAGCCGAGCCTGCGCCCGGCCCTTGAGTTCTCTCGGGGCCAAAGCTGGCTGACCCTCAGGGTGAGGAAGATGCTTCCCACCTTGCATGGCTCGCCTGTCCTGCTGCCACCCTAGGGAAGGCAGCCGGGCGCGATGGAAGGACGCGTGTGCCTGTACTCTGCCTCAGGGCGGACGGACACGGAAACCGGAACATAGCAGTTTTTAAATTGCATCATATTCTTCTTCATCTTTCTCACCCATGTAATTTAAAATTTCTACTTTTTTTTTTCTGGTCTTGGCACCGTACCAGGTGGCGCTCAGGGGCTACTCCTTGGCTCTGTGTGGGGTCACTCTTGGTGGGGGCTCAGAAGACCAGTTGGTGTCAGGCGTGGAACTTCGCATCCTGAGCGCAAAGCCTGCACTCAGCCCATTGAGCCCCCAGGCCCCCAAATACCAACTCTTATAAAAAAAAGTTTAAATATGCATGCAGATTTTTAAGATTTCCTATAAAAATATCAAGACCATTTTAGCTCAGGCTATGCAAAAAAAAAAAAAAAACAGGCAAAAATTAGATTTTCTCATGAGCCCCGATTTGCGGGCCTCGGTTTCTGTGAGCGCACTTGGTTACCGGAAACAAATTGTTTGCTTGGCATCTCCCGTCACATCTGGTATTTATGGCTCAGGATTCTCTCTGGGTTCAAGTTCCGCAGAAGGTTCCAGAAGCAAAACCTGAACTGGACTGGTTTGGGCCCGGCTCGCTCTCTGGTTTCATCCTCCTTTCCTCTGGGAGGGGACCAGTGAGTGACAGATTCCTGGGGGCCAGCCGGAGCCTCCCGGCAGCACAGGCCTGTGTGGGCGTCCGTGTGCGCCCACCCAGACAGGAGCTCAGGGCTGGGCTGTGACGGTGTCTCCCCGGAGCCGTCGTCTCGGTGAGCAGCCCCGGCCCGGCACCTGTGAGGAGACTCCCAGCAAAGCAAGTCCACGTCCAGCCAGCTGCTTGGAGAGCCACGGTCGCCGCAGCGTGCCCAGAGAGAGGAAGTCACCTTCTGTCCACCGCCCAAAATAACACTTCCGCCCAGAACAGCCTGTGTGCACCGCCACATTGGCATCTGCGCCCACCCTCGCACACGGCGGGGGGGCGGGGGGACGGGCGGCCCACAGCCTGGGCCTCTGCTTCAAGCCACACCTGCCCCGACTCTGTGAACCCCGTCCTCTGGGGAGCATGTTGGAGTCAACAAAGGGTTAAAAAGTGAAGGAGACAGAGGGAGTGTTCTGAGGGCTGGAAGCACACAGGCTTTGTGTGTTTGGTCCCCGGCCCCATGAGGTGCCCCTGAAGCACTGCCAGGAATGAGCCAAGAGGGGCTCCTGAGCACTGCTGCATGTGGCCCAGAATCAGAAGACAGAGCGGAAGCACAGAAAAGGCCAGGAAGTCCCTCCCCCCCAGGGGGGGGTATCGGGCATCTGCTGCCCAGGACAGGGCCCTAAGGAGGCAGTGTCACTCTGGAGCCATCGTTTGGTAAAGCTCAAAGCAGGGCTCAGAGAGCACCACCTGCTGCGGGGGTGGCTTCACGATGAAGAGTTCAGGGGGCAGTGGGCACGTGGCCAGCCTGGGTGCAATCCCCAGCATCCCATCTGGACCCCCAAGCATCGCCGGCTGTGGCCCCCGAATACATATGTGTCGTTCACAGGCTGGAAGAGCTAGAGCAGTGGGTGGGGCACTGGCCCGGCACGCAGCCGGCCCAGGTTCCGGCGTCCCATAAGGCCCCCTGTGCAGCGCCAGGAGTGAGCCCTGAGCACTGCTGGGTGTGGCCTAGAACCCAAAGCTTAAAAAATAAGATCATCAGTGTTCTCCGGGTCTGTGGCCCGCTGAGCCCACTCTCCTCGCACCTGCAGTACCACAGCAGCCTGGCGTCCCTGAACGGGCTGGAGGTCCACCTGAAGGAGACCCTGCCCGCCGCCAGGACGGCCGCCCCGGGCAGAGCCTACAACTTCGCACACTACGACCGCGTCCAGAACGTGCTGACGGGTAAGGAGCTGGCTGGTGCGCGGAGGCGCCCCTTAGCGACGGGGGGCCGTCAGGGCGGGCGCTCCCCCCCTTGCTGGCTGCTGCCAGAGCGCGCGGCTCCCACTGAGTTTGGAATCTCTTGGCAGACACCTCCTTGCTCATTTGTCTCTTCCGGTTGTTTCTCCAACATTGTGAGAGAAGCACACACATGTTCAGTTGTCTGTGATGCGGTCGGCCTCCAGGCGGGGATGCGTGGGGCGGGACGGGGCCCCCGGCTCACAGCTCCGGTGTGCTTCTCTCTCCCCCCGAAGCCAGCCAGCTGCAGGCGGCCACCCCCCAGGACCGCCGCTTCCTTCAGGCCGTCAGCCTGATGCACTCAGACTTCGCCCAGCTGCCCGCGCTGTCAGAGATAACTGTGAGGTGAGCACAGCCGCATCCTCCTCTCGGAGGCCAGACTCAGTGGAGGACACCCCAGCCTCTCCCCTCCTCCCCTCCCAAGCCTTTCCCGGGCTGGGGACCTGATGTTCTCGAGCTCGGAGCTCATGTAGGACTGGGACAGGACCCAGTGGCCCTGTCCCGGCCTGGACAGTGTCCTCATCCACATGGCGTCTGCCCACCTTCTCCCAGGCTCCCAGCGAGGGCCCCCGCTCACATAGTTGGGTGTCTGGGACCCCGGGTTTGCTGGTGTTTGGGCTTTCCTGTCACGTGTGAGTGTTTCTCTCTCGATCACATCATGTCTCTTGGGTGACTGGTTTTCACCTCATCACCCCTGGGACCCTCAAGCCTGGGAAGTCCTCATCACTGATGTTTTGGCTTTTTGGTTTTAGGGCCACACCCAGTAATGCTCGGGACTTACTCCTGGCTCTGTGCGCAGGGATGGCTCCTGGCAGGCTCAGGGGGATAGGGGTGCTGGGATTGAATCCCAGCTCAGCTGTGTGCAAGGCACGGGCCCAACCCGCTGGCGTCCTGCTCTGGCTCCCCGGGTCCTAACTCGGATGGGCCCCGTCTCGCCGTCAGCGTCTTCGTCCCTCTTTCCCCACCTGCTTCTCTGGGGAAACGGCAGCTGCCGACACAGCTCCAGAGGCGGGTGGGAGGGGCGGCCTGCGCGGAGGCCGTTTTTTTCCATTTCGTCCTGGAATGATGGGGCCCAGTGCTCCTGCGGGAGGAAGCCTCTTCCAGGCGAGGGGGTTGGCGCGGGACGAGGATGTGCCGCTCGTCCTGAGGTCACCTGGTGAGGTGCCGAGAGGGTTGGAGGGCGGGTTTCTGGGCCCGGGTCCGACAGGGAAGGGCACTGCTACCCAGCTTCTGCCCAGCACAGCCCCAGGCACCCCTGCCGCCAGCATCTCCGAGAGCGACGTGTCTTTCCAGGGCCAAGTCCCGGCTGCTGTGAGCTGGCACCCTGACTGCCGTTGGCATGTCTGGTCGAGTGTGTGTGTGGCGCTGTGTATGTGTGTTGTGTGTGTAGTGTGGTTGTATGTGTGTGATGCGTGTATGTGTGTGGCATAGTGCGCATAGTGTTTGTGGTTGTGTGTGTATGTGTACAGTGCGCGTGGTTGTATGTGTGGTGTGTATATTGTGTGGTGCAGGGGTGTGTACTGTATGGTTATGTACGTGTGTGTGATCTGTATAGTGAGTGTGATTGTGTGTATGTGGCATGTGTGATGCGTGTGGTCGTGTATGTGGCATGTGTCTATGTGCATGTAGTGTGTATAGTGCGTGTGGTTGTGTGTGTGGCATGTGTATATGTGCATGTAGTGTGTATAGTGCGTGTGGTTGTGTGTGTGTGTGTGTGTGTATCCATTCCAGCTCATGGTGGGTGGGTGTGCACATGTTCCACTCTGGGGAGTTGAGGGCTGCTGCCGCGTCCCCCTTATGGAGGGACGGAGGGGAGGTGGCGCCCCTGAAAGGCCCCGCCACGGGCAGCCAGGGTCACCCCAGCTGTGTGCTCAGAACCCCAGTGGCGTGCTAGAGGCCCTGCGGAGACCGCGGGGCACTCCTGGGTCCTTGCTGGGCGAGGGGGCGCGAGCGGCCCCTGCCTCGTGCTCGGGCCTGGAGGGTCGGGCCCTGGCCCTGGAGTCAGCTCCGCGGGGGCAGGGCCATGTTTGCGGATCGCCGCCCTCCGTCCCTGTGCTCCTCCTGTCACGGCGGAAGCATCCCAGCCGCTGGGCTGCGGGGGGCTTCGGCCCGGCGCCCCCGGAGCGCGCTCTGTGCAGCCGCCAGCCGTCCTGCACGCACCACGGGTCCCTCCTTGGCCCGTGCAGCCTCAGGTGTGGATGGAGCCTGGCCCCGAGCCGAAGCCCCCAGCCGTGACCACTGCTCCGCACTGCACCCCAGTGCCTGGCGTGGACCCGGCTCGGCCCCACATGCGTCTCTCTCCCTCCGACAGGAACGCCTCCACCGCCGTGTACGCCTGCTGCAGCCCCGCTCAGGAGACCTACTTCCAGCCGCTGGTGGCGGCCGCCCGGAGCTCCGGCTTCCCCAGCGCACAGGACAGCGCCTTCAGCCTCCCGGGCAAGGCCAGGCAGCGGCTACTCAAGCACGGGGTGAACCTACTGTGAACCGTCACAGCCCCAGACGTGCCGGCACGGGGTGGACCTACTGTGAGCCACTGCAGCTTCCGGACATGCTGGGCACGAGGCGAACCTACTGTGAGCTGCCACAGCCCTGGATGTGCCGGGCACGCGGGGATGGAGCAGAGTCGGGAGTTTCTCTCTGCGCAGGGCCAGGAGGGGGGTCACTTCTCAGTACGGGGTAAGCGGCCGCGTGGGGACCGGGAAAGGCCCCCGGGCTTCCCCCAAGAGGCGCAGGGCCGGGACGGTGCAGAGGGCGCCCGGGTCACGTGGAGCCGCCATGCCCCGCAACACTCAGGCCCTCGCTCACTGGTGCCGTGTCTCGCCTGCGTGGGGGTGCGGTATGGAGGGGACACCCCACGGGGGCCGGAATGGCCGCTGTCCCTGATGATGTCCAGTGGCCTCCTGGGAGGCGGGGCCTCTTCAGATCGGGAAACTGAGACCTCCTATCCTAAAGGTCCCTGGAACCTTCCGGAACTGGACTCGGCTCTGGGGTCTGGTGGGCAGAATCCCCCACGGGGATGTATCCTGAGCATAGAAGGGCCCCAGGTCCTGACGGGACCCTCGGGGTCGGTCCCCAGCAGGCCCTGACGAGACCCTTGGGGTCGGTCCCCAGCCGGTGCCTGTGTGGGACGTGGGTCTGAAAGCAGGGCCATGTGGCCGGTGGCATCTCAGACGCTCCCTGAGGCGGTGCAGAGCCCCCCGGGGGATGGGGGTGCCCAGACCCGTCCCCGTGATCGTTTACAGGAAACCCTGTGGTCCCTTGGGAAACCGCCCGAGAAGCATCTCATGTCAGCAGACACGCAGCCAGTGATGTCTGTCTCCCGAAACAAGTTTCAAGCCTAAAAATAAAATGGCCAAAGATGCTGAGTCGTCCCGCGTGGTGGAGTGACACTGTGAGTGACACAGTTGTGGCAGGGCTTGGCTGCGGCTGGCCTGGCCTCTGGAGGACACTGTGCTCCTTTCCAAGCGGCGCGGCGCAGCAGGGGGCGCTGTCGAGCACCCTGTCCACAGGTGGCGCCTCCCACACCCCCGGGACCCACTGCGGTGGGCTGACCCCACAGGGGGCGGTCCCCAGGGGAGGAAGCTCCCAATCCAGAGTCCCAGCTTCGCTGCACAGGCTGCGTGAGGGGCCCCGGGTCCAGGGGGAACTGGGCACCCGGAGAGACAGACTTGAAACTGTCCTCTGCCCCCAGGATGCAACTCAGGGGCTGGGGCTGGGGTGGCCAGGCCCCTGTTCTGTTGCTGTCTGACAGCAGGGGCTGTGGGGATGTGGCCTCCGACCTGCCCCCCAGCTCCTGGGGGTCCCGCTGGCCTCCAGCTCCCCCACCTGCAGTCAGGAGGAAGGGCTGGAACGCGCCATGCCGTTGGTCTCCCCCACAGAGCCAGAGAAGTAGCCCTGGACTCACCCCCACCCCCAGGAGCAACTGAGAAACCAGTGGGGAGCCTGCAGCCTGCAGACACCTCTCCCCGCCCAGGCCCAGAGGCTGCCGGAAACAGGGCCGAAACCCTGGTCTCCCCGACCAAAGCCTTGGAGATTCAGGCGGTTTGAGGCGGTTTGAGGCGGTCCCAGCCCTGCACCCTTAAGGCTGGCAGTGGGAGGGGCAGGGCTGGGGGGTGGAGAGGCCAGAGGGCCACTGTCAGGACTGCGGCCCCTGTCGGACCCAGGAGACAGTGAGCGCAAGCATCTGTCCCCCAGGGAGTGACGGGCCAGGACCAACAGCCCTGCAGGGCGTGGAGGAGGGGGGAGCATTCTGGGAAATTCCATCTTGGTTTTGTGACGGCCCTGAGGGCTGATGTACAGGGGAGACCCGGGCTCCATCTCCAGCACTGTGGGGCGTGGACCCCAAACAGTCCCATGGGAGAAGCCAGTGGGGCCCCGTGGGGGCGGAGCAGGCTGCCGACCTGAGGAAGTCGCTCAGTCTGTTTTCGGCCCCGGGAGGTCCCCCAGGAGGTTCCTGGACGCGGGTCCCTTGTGCCCGGTGGGGAAGGTGGCTGTGAGGCCTGGACTCGGGCCTTGAGGTCGTGACCACCAAGGCCACGCCGCCAGCGGGCACCTGGCTTCCGACCGCAGCCCGTGGATACACACAAAACCGTCCCCAGCGCCGTAAATAGACAGAGTTTCTGTCCTGGGTGAGTCCACCCCGACGAAGGGGAGGATGGTGTGTGCAAGTGAACCCGCACGGGGCTCAGGGCGGCCAGCTCTCTCTTTGGTTCGGGGGCCACACCCAGTGGTGCTCAAGGGACGCTCTGTGATGCCAGGGACCGGACCCGCAGCTCGCTGCATGCAGGTAAGCGCCGCATTCTCTCTCTGGCTCCATTCTCACCTGGCATGTGGGGGTGCTGAGTGCAGAGGGGCATGGGCAGGGCAGGCATCGGAAGCTTGAGCATTGCTGGGGGTTGTCCCCCCGCCCCAAAAATATATGGATGGAGCCAGGCATCTAGCGCAGGGGTAAGGCGCTTGCCTTGCACACAGTAGACCCAGGCTTGAACCCCAGCACCGCGTATGGTCCCCCCGAGCATGTCAAGGGTTTTTCCTGAGCACAGGGCCAAGTATAGCCCCTGAGCACTGTCTGGTGAGGCCCCAAAGCCCACCCCCCAAAAAATTAAAAATGTGATGTTTACATGCGTGTCCTCAGCCCTTGAACTCTCAATGGTCCCAGTGGAAGAACTTGGTTCCTGATCGAACCCAAGTGCCCAGCAGCTGGCAGAGGTGCTCAGCCCTGCCCCCGTCTCTGAGGGGCCGAGGGCTTGGAAGGCTCTGACTGGTCAAGTCTGGTTCTTGAGCCTGGTCCTGCGGCAGGAATGGGGTCAGGGCTGGAATGCAGGGATGCAAAGGTTTCCCTCCACGGCTCAGCAGGGAACACGGGCAAGTTCCTGCTGAAGAGGAAAAGCTGGGGCTGGAGCGATAGTACAGCGAGGAGGGCACGTACAGCCCTGGCTGGAGCCATAGCACCATCAGGTAGGGCGTTTGCCTCGCACACGGCCGACCCGGGTTTGATTCCTCCCATCCCATATGGTCCCTGAGCACTGGCAGGAGTGATTCCTGAGTGCAGAGCCAGGAGTAACCCCTGAGCATCATCGGGTATGAATGGCCCAAAAAGCAAAAAATTAAAAAAGGAAAGGCCAGTGGGGCTGGAGACAGCTCCTCAGCGGGCAGGGCGGGCGGCACTGCTGACCCAAGCCTGACCCCCACCAGGAGTGGTCCTGGGCGGGCCAGAAGCACCACTGCATGTGACCCCAAAACCAAAATAAAGTGCCGTGTGGCCGCAGAGAGCTATTAGGTGCCCTGTGCCCTGTCTGCCAGCGTTCAGGGCATGAGCTGACTCCTGAGTGCATCTCTCAGTGACTGTCCGAGTTGGGCGCCCATGGCAGAGGGCTGACCCGGGGGCAGAGGGGTGCCCACGGCCCAGTCATGTGGTGACTGTCCAGAGTCAGGCTGACAGAGGGATGGCCCGAGGGCTCACAGCCCAGTCATGCAGAATTCAGGGAGATGCTGCACAGAGATCCCCGCTAGGTGACCCTGAGTAGCCAGCACAGCCCCAGAGCTGATCTGGACAGGCCTAGGGCTGAAGTGGGGGAGGGGGCCCCCCTTTCTCACCCCTGGCAGCCCTGGCAGTGGGGTGTGAATTACTTTAGTAATTGCCTGGTTGGCGGTCACACCTCAGAGGGTGAGAAACACTCAGAGCACAGGGCCCAACTCTGGCCTCTGAATGCTGCCTCCCGGCCCCCAGAGACACACACCCACCCGCCCACCCGGCCTCGCCTAAGCCCGCGGGAGCACCAGGGGCCCACGGTTAGACCCCAGTGATGGCACGCAAGGGCCACCAGCTCCCCGACCCCCATCAGAAGTGGGGGTGCCACTCTCCCTTGCCGCCTCCCCTCCCCACCCTGTTTCCTTGCAGTGAGTGACAGAAAGGGGCCGGTGAGGGCTTCAGAGCTGCCCCGGGGCACCCCCATCCCCAGCCCTGTCCCTCGCCCTCCTGGGTGTGTCCTGGCCGGAGTGTTCCGTCCCCGCTAGGAGGGCACGTTTGCCTTCCCTGGACCTGCCCACGAGCTCCCTAGCCTGGGGGTCCCTTCCACAGCCTCGATGCCAACTCACCCTCCTAGGGCATCGGCCCCCCAACCCTGTCCGGTCTCCGGAGCCCCGAGTCGACACACTGCTTGGCCATTCTGTCCCGATCCTTTATTTCTCTGCTGTCACCCCACCGCGTCCCACGAGGGCAGGGCACCCGCGGGGCGGCTGTTTCTGTAAACCTGCACGCACAGAGGTCGTGCACCTCTGGTGACCAGTAACAAGGCGCGGAAGGAGAAGGAGGAGGTCTCGGGAGACGGGGGGGGGGGGGGGGGGGCAGTCGCCAGGGAACTCCTGGGGTCTGGAAGCAACGCCCACTCCCAAGGCCCGGCGTCTGCAGACTTCGCTCACTCCCGTTACTTTGCTCACGCGACTCCCAGGTGTGATGGCGTTGCGGCTGAGCACCGGATACCAGTGTTCACCTGGCCGCGCACCTGTCACCAGCCACGGCTTTCCAGACCTCACGCTGCCTGGGCTCCAGGGTCCGCCGAGGCCTCAGCGGTGCGGCCCGAGGGGACGCTCTCCTGAAGCCACCAACAGGCCGGGAGACAGGGAGCCCGCAGCTAAGGCGCAGGTCCTGGGGAGCACGGGGCGTGCACCTCCCCACTCACGCACCGGCCGGCACAGCAGCCAGGACCAGGCACCCTCTCTCTGGGCCCGGCGTCTGCACGATAACGCAGGGACAAGTAGAAAATCTCAGGCAACAACCTCAAGGCCTCACGGACACTTGGCTCAGAACTCAGGGGCTGAAGGGGGACCTTTCCAGAGCGACACAGGAAGGGGGAGTGTCGGACAGCTGGTGGTTTGGGCATCCTCAGAACAGCGGGGAAGGGGTGTCCTTCAGGCCCGGCTGGCCACGGCGCCTCCTGGAGGCAGTGACATGGGAGCCCAGGGCTGGAGGCTGACCAGGGGAGCCCCCACCCAGCCCCCAAGGCCACCAGCCCCAGCAGTATCCCCAGAGGATGGGGGCTCTCTGCCCTTGGGGACCTGACGGCGGCGGAAGGCCCCCATCTGGCGACAGATAGGCCAAGCCATAGGTTCCCGGTCACAGGCTCACAGAGACCAGGGCAAGTTCCCGAGGGTCCAGAACAGCTGACCCCTGGGAAGATGCTAATGCAGTGGGAAACTGAGGCACAGCTGAGCGGGTGACAGCCCTGGGCCTCAGGGACTTGCCCGCCTGCAGCGTGCGGAAGAAGGGGACAAAAGGCCAAGGCAATGGAAGCGGAAAGTTCTCCGTTGACAATCACCAAGGGGGAAAGGGAGGCCCACGCCACGGTTTACCAAAATAGAAAAATAAAAACGGAAGCCCGCTGCCGCTGCCACCGCCGAGCTGCCTGTCCGTGGAGGCGGCGTTCCGAGCGAGCGGGGCGGCGGGACCCCCGAGGGCCGCCCCTCACTGTGCGGCCTGGCCTGGCCTGGGCCCCACGTCACTCCCCGACACCCGACTCCAGCGCGGGCCGCCAGCTCATCGTCCCGGGGCAAAGATGAAGTCCAGCGCCTGCCGCTCGGCGGCGGCCACGTTGGGGTGCCACAGGTCCACCATGAAGACCACCCGTGGGCCCTCGTCCGCGGAACCTGGCGGGGAGAGAGCAGAGAGGTTCGCGCCGGGTGCCGCAGCCAAGCCAGCCAGCACCACCCAGGGGAAGGGAGGTCGGGGCTTTCTCCCGCAGGCGGGCGGAGGGGAGGGGGGCCCAGAGCACCTTTGTGGGCCAGGGGCCCCCCGTTCAGCCTCGCGTCCAGCCCCTGCCCCGCCAACGTCGGGGAAGTCGCTGGGGGCAGGCCGGGCCGGGCTCACCTCCGTGCAGCGCCGTGTGCAGGAAGGAGTCGTCGAAGAGCAGGCAGCGGCCCTCGGCCCAGCACTGTGGCTCACCCCCCACCACCAGCTCGCAGCCGCTCGGCGTCTTCAGGCCTGCGGGGGGACAGCAAGGGAGAGGGTGGACAGGGGCGCAGGGGAGGACGGGGGGGGATGCCCGCTGGGGTCCCCCAGAGCCCTGGGTGGGGCTGGCCAAGGTGAGAGTAGCACTGGGCTCTGCACCTGCACGGGGCTGGCCGCCCTGATACAGGCTCGACTGGGCCCACTATGCCCACTCCAAGCCTGTCCGTGGCCATCGGAGGGCGGCTGAAGGATGCCCAGCCCCCCCCCCCCCCCCCCCCCCGCTGTGTTCCAACCTCACAGGCCACTAGCCGGCCTGGGGAGGGAGGGAGGGAGGGAGGGTCAGGTCTAGCTGAGTGTGTTCCCAAGTCTCCTGCAGGGAAACTTGGGGTGGGGGCCCCCTCTGGGCATGGGACTCTGAGGGTGTCAGATCCCCGCTCAGCAGCTGTGCTGGGGGGCCCATGCCTGGGTGCAGAGCCCGGAGAGGGGAAGCTGGAAGACCATGGACACACGTCGCAATGACCTCCGGGTGACGGGAGTCAGCTCACAGCTCGGGAAGGGGGGAAGTGGGGCGGGCAGGGGTGGTTCTGGGGCATCCGGCTCCCGTGGCCTGGGTCATGGGTGACCCTCCTCCCCCCTGGCACCACGGTTGACTTTCAGTGGCCAGACCCATAGCGGTTATTCACTTGTTTGATTTGGTCTCTGGGCCACGCCCAGCAGTGCTCAGGACCTACTCCTGGCTCTGTGCTCATTTGGGGTACCGGGGAGTGGACCCCGGCCAACTGCATGTAAGGCCAGCGCCCTCCCCGCTGTATCATCTCTCTGGCCTTGTCTGCCGTGGCACTGTTGACGACTGTGGTGCTGGGAACCCAGGGCCTCAGACAAGCAAGGCTGAGCTCTCCTCCCCGCGACCCAGTCCTGGAGACAGCGGGGTGGGGGCTGGTGTGTCCTTGACCACTCTGTGGTCAGTGGTGCTCAGGGGCTACATCTGGCTCAGTGCTCCGGTCACTCCTGGCTCGGTGCTCGGGGACCATGCAGTGCCCGGAACGGAGCCAGGTGGACCTCCTGCTGGCACAGGCCCGTGTGTGGGAGCCCACCCTCCGGCCCCTGCATGCCCGGGGGCTGGCACGCTCAGCATCACTAAGGTGTGGCCCAAACCCCCCCCCCCCCCAGAACAAAGCTCCCATTTCTCCAGGCCACTAAATGCTGCACTGCTTTGTAGCTCAGTGGCAAGTTCACGGCCCCGTTTCCTCTGACCCCCGCACTCTGAACCTGCTACCCGTGTCCATCGGGCCTGTGGCGGTCACCATCCAGCTGGGCTGATGGAAGTGGCCTCTACCCAGCCATCAGTCCTGCCTCCCACTTAGGGCCACTGCTTTGTCCCCAGAAACAGCAGGGAAAGGGCCGCGTCCCTGCACGGGCACTGTGGCAGCTGGGGTGGGGTGGGCCCCGGGGGGCGGGCAGGCAAGCAGATGAGTGAGCAGATCTCGCCCCTGCAACAGGCGGGCAGCGCGTGTCCAACTCCCGGAGCTGAGGGCACAGGAGATGCTTGTGCGTCCATTCCCCGCGAGTGAGGGTGGGCTGCCTCAGCCCAGGTCCAGGGCAGGGTGAGAAGGGTCTGGGTGGGTGGACACCCAAAGCGCACACCTGACCCCACCGCCACCGCGCCGGAACTCTAAGTGAATGGAAAATGCTCCCGAGTGCACCCGAGGCTTGGACTGACGCCCAGATACTCCCATCACTCCCGAGACCCCACAGGGCACCAGAGACAGTCCCATCACAACTCAGGCAGGCGAGGTCTGGGGTGTCGCAGGGACTGGCCCCTGAGCTCCGCCTGGGGTGGGGGCAAACACCGGGCCAGGGACGGGCGCAGTTCGGTGGCAGAGCCCTGGCACTAAGGACAGACAGATGCGGATCTCGCAGTGTGGGACGTGGCAGGGGCGGGGCCTCCACGCCCCTACGGTGTCGACACAGAGCCAAGCGGGGACACGTGCTCCCTCCCTCGGGGAGGAGCAAGGGAGAGAAAGGACCAAACCACTGGTCACAGCCCAGGGGGTGTCCACGGACCCCAGCAGGACCCGGGGGCAAAGGACCAGCAGGGCTGAAGAGGAGGAGGGGGTCAGAGTGACAGTTCAGCAGGCGCTCGCCTTGCACGTGGCCAACCCGGGCTCGAGCCCCACCATCCCGTGTGGTCCCCCGAGCACCGCCAGGAGTTGACTCCCGAGTGCAGAGCCAGGAGTGACCCCTGAGCAAGACAAACTAGACAAAAAGGGAGATGGGACTGAAAGAGGGTGTGTGGGTGACACCCACCCACAGCACATGCACACGTGGTAAGATGGTAGATACACACGGCACAGATGCACACACAGCAGAGAGACACACACACAACACAGACACACACACACAGCACTGACACACAATACAGATGCATACACACAGCACAGACACACACAGCAGATAACCACAGCACAGACACACAACAGATACAGCACAGACACAATACAGATGCATACACACAGCACAGGATGCACACACAGCAGAGAGACACACACACAACACAGACACACACACACAGCACTGACACACAATACAGATGCATACACACAGCACAGACACACACAGCAGATAACCACAGCACAGACACACAACAGATACAGCACAGACACAATACAGATGCATACACACAGCACAGGATGCACACACAGCAGAGAGACACACACACAACACAGACACACACACACAGCACTGACACACAATACAGATGCATACACACAGCACAGACACACACAGCAGATAACCACAGCACAGACACACAACAGATACAGCACAGACACAATACAGATGCATACACACAGCACAGGATGCACACACAGCAGAGAGACACACACACAACACAGACACACACACACAGCACTGACACACAATACAGATGCATACACACAGCACAGACACACACAGCAGATAACCACAGCACAGACACACACAGATACAGCACAGCCACACAATACAGAGGCATACACACAGCACAGACACACAATACAGAGGCATACACACAGCACAGACGCACACACAGCAGATAACCACAGCACAGACACACAACAGATACAGCACAGACACAATACAGATGCATACACACAGCACAGGATGCACACACAGCAGAGAGACACACACAACACAGATACACACACACAGCACTGACACGCAATACAGATGCATACACACAGCACAGACGCACACATGGCAGATAACCACAGCACAGCATACAACAGATACAGCACAGACACAATACAGATGCATACACACAGCAGAGATGCACACACAGCAGAGAGACACAACACAGACGCACACACACAGCACAGACACACAATATAGAGGCATACACACAGCACAGATGCACACACAGGAGAAAACACAGCCCAGACGCAGACATGCACTGACATACAGCACAGATGGCCCACACTGTAGATACAGCACAGACACACAACACAGACGTATACACAGAGCACAGACGCACACACAGCAGATCAACACAGCACAGATACAGCAGACGCGCGCACACAGCACAGACGGACACGGCACAGACACATAGCAAGCACAGACGCACACATAGCAGGTACACAGCCGGACACACACACACACACACACACACACACACAGTACAGACACACATGGAGCAGATATACACACAGCAGACACGTGGCGCAGATCCACACACATAGCACAAACGTACACACAGCAGATACACAGCCAGACACACGGCACAAACAGCACAGACGCACACAGGAGATACTCAGCACAATTGCACACGCGCAGCAGATACACACAGCAGGCACACATGGCCTGGACACGCACACACAGGGCACAGAGGCTCACAGATCCACCACACGGCCGCATCCACACGGCCCAGCCCTCCCACGCCCGGAACCTGACAGCCGCTCTCCAATGCTTCCACGCACAGCGCGCAGGCGGCAGGGCACGGGCAGGGCAGAGCGAGGTGCCCGCCGCCCACACTCAGCCCTTGACCACCCTCCGGGTGGGGGGGGACAGCTCCCCGCTCTGCTCCCTGCCACACCTCAGGGCCAGACCCTGTGCCGGTGGCAGCATCCCCGCACTGCCTCCTCCGAGAGGGGCAGACGCTGACCCAAGTCCCGGCGCCCTCCTTCCTGGGGCAGGGGTCTGGCCATGCACCGCTGGTCCTCAGCTGCCGCGTGCCAGGAGACGTCGCTGTGCTGCTGGGTGCTTCGAGGCCGTGCCCCGGCCACACCCGCAGCGCCCCTTCCCCCGTCCCACCCGCCCTCTGCCCAGCCGCGCCTGCATGCCTGACACGAGCGAGGCCCGGCCCAGGCCCCTCTGCGGGACAGGACACCACGTCTTCCCATGTCCCTCTGTCTTCCATGTCCCATTCTTCTCCGGGTGCCCACCTGGGTCAGCCGCCCTGAGACTCAGTGGGAAGGCCCCGTCCCCCTAGGCTGTGTGTGACAAACACACCCTCCCGGCTGGGTCCCCTCGGGGACTTTCCAAATCAGCTAAGAGAATTGAGGTGACTGGGGCCCTAGGACATGGCCAGGTAGCAGCTGCAGTACCTCCCCCCCAAAGCCCCATACCCCAGCCACACCCATCTCTCAGCCCTCAGGTCTAGGGAGCCCTTGAAAGCCCCTGGCAGCCCCCAAGCCTGGCCCCCTGCAAGGTCATTCTTGATCCCGGGAGTCCTCTCAGAGCCTCTAGCTCTGGACTCACCCTGCTCACACAACAGCCGCTCAGTAAATGGGGGTGCTGGTGACACCAGGCCCCTCGGTCACACCAGCCCCCATCACCGCCCCGGGCAGAACTTTTGGCAGGAATCAGGCCCACACAGGGACTGGAGCAATAGCACAGCGGTGGGGCATTTGCCTTGCAAGCAGCCAACATGGTCGACTGGAGTTCGATTCCTGCGCCCCTCTCCGAGAGCCCGGCAAGCTACTGAGACTATCTCGCCCACACGGCAGAGCCTGGCAAACTACCCCTGACGTATTCGATATGCTAAACACAGTAACAAGTATCACAATGGAGACGTAACTGGGGCCGCTCGAGCAAATCGATGAACAATGGGTGGACAGTGACAGACCCACACACAGCAGGAGTGTGTGTGTGTGTCTGTGTGTGTGTGGAGGGGGGCAGGGGGGAGAATGGTGGGGGGAGGGGGGTTTGCTCTCCACTGACTCCTGGTCAACGGGGCTGGTGCAGAGTTGAGGACATGGTCCTGGGGATCACCAGGGACACCCCGGCAGTGCTCAGAGGCTGCACCGTCCAAGGCTGCAACTGGTGGCGCTTGGGGGACCACGTGGTGCCCGGGAGTCGAACTGGGGTCTGCCGTGTGCAAGTTGCATTTCATGACCCCTGCACTCTCTCTCCAGCAGTGCTCAGGGACTTCCCACGTGCACAACCTGCGCTCAGACCCTTGAGCCTGCCCCCCTCGCCCCCCCCAAAAACCCCACTCCCTGCCTTCAAGCATCGAACGCGTGACCCATCCATTTCCCGGGGACGGGCGCCCGGAGGAAGCGGAAACCAAGCCCCTCGGAGAGCCAGGGCACACTCGGCAGCAGCGGCGGCGGCGGTGGCGGGGTGCCCGAGGCCCAGGGAGGGCGGCGCGCCCACCTACCTAGGTGGCAGCGGATGCGGATGTTGGTGGGGCCGTAGTGCTCCGTGATGACCGTCCCGGGGCTGAGCACGGAGATGCACGCGTTCCCGAACACGTTGTTTCCGATACAGGTCCGCAGGCTGCCGAGCAAGCGGTACGTCCGTGGGCACCTCCTGCAGTTCCGGGGCACGCACACGCCCTGGTTGACCAGGTAGAAGGTGACCCACTCCCCGCTGGGGGTGCTGTTCACCTTCCAGCCCTGCGGCAGGCTGCAGTTGGAGAAGGCCTTGTACAGGGCCTCGAACTCGCACAGGATGGTGGGGAAGTTGCGCTCCAGCAGCTCCACGTCGTGCTTCTGCGCGTCGCGGGGGAAGTAGGGCGCGGTGGGCAGGTCGGGCAGGAAGAAGACCTCGGGCTTCTGGATGGACGGCCGGCTGGCGAGGTAGCGGCCCTGCTCGCGGATGCCCTTGTGGATGCGGCCCATGCCCGACCAGGAGTAGCGCTTGGCGTACTCCTGCAGGTTGTGGTAGAGCTTCTGGTTGAGGCCCTCGCCCGGGCTGCAGCGCACGCAGGCCGGCGACTGGCAGTAGGCGAAGCCGTTCTGCAGCGCGCCCGCCTCGGGGCCCTGCAGGAGGGCGCCCACCGAGGCGTAGGGCCGCGGCTGCTCACGCCCCACGCGGTAGCAGTACCACACGAAGAGGAAGAGCAGGCAGCCCACGGTCACGGCCGCGCTGGCGTCGCAGTCGCGCACCGACTGCATGCCGCTGGCCACGCAGTCCCGCAGGCTGTCCAGGGACCAGCCCCAGGCCCCCAGCCACTCCAGGGACATCTTGGGGGCGGGGCGGGGCTGTCACGCTGGGCGTGCGGGGACGGGAGCGGGGGAGGGCCGACGGTCAGCTGCGCTCGCTCTGCAGACTTAGTGCGGGGGGTGCAGGGCGGCGGGCACCGGAGGGGGCATGGCTGCGGGGGGCGGGTCCTGCATCACCCCCGGGAAGGGACACGGGCCGGTCTCCGTCACGTGGGCAGCTGGCGTGGAGACCCCGAGGAGGCGCACTCTTAGGAAGTCCGATCTGGGATGAGAGAAGGCAAAAACAAAACAAAAGCTGTGACTTTTACACCCAAATTCTCCCCGGAGATGAGGGTCCCCCCTCTTCGGGCCACGGGGGGCCCCTCCAGGACATCCTCTCCACAGCAGTCCCTGTCAGAGTCCTCCTCACGCCCTCCTAGGTACAGGCGTTATGCTCATCTTCCAGATGGGGAAACTGAGGCTGGGGAAGGCGGGCCTTGCTTACTTACTATGTGTGTCTTGCTAAGTAAATGTCTTACTTCCTGTGGCTCACACAAACCCCACCTGACAGCCAAGTGGACATCAAGACGAGTTTGTAGGTCAGAGGGTGGTTTTATGTCCTGGCACCATCCATCATTCTCTTTGGGGCCCACCCCCATGCAGTGCTCAGGGGCCACTCCTGGCGGGGCTTTGGCAGCCATGTGGGCATCCGGATGGAACCCTGGTCTCCACTGAGCCACCTCCCAGCCCTGACACTGATTTAAGGCTCGCCGTATTATACTGGAGCGATAGCACAACAGGGAGGGCGTTTGCCTTGCACACGGCCGACCCAGCCAACCCAGGTTCAATTCGCCCCTCTCAGAGAGCCCGGCAAGCTACCGAGAGGATCTCGCCCGCACGGCAGAGCCTGGCAAGCTCCCCGTGACGTATTCGAGATGCCAAACACAGTAACCAGTCTCACAATGGAGACGTTACTGAGCCCGTACGAGCAAAACGAACAACGGGAGGACAGTGCTACGTGTGTGTGTGTGTGTGTGTGTGTGTGTGTATGTATATATATATATGTATATATATGGGCCGGAGTGATAGCATAGTGGTGGGGCATTTGCCTTGCACACAGCCAACATGGCCGACCCGAGTTCGATTCCTCTGCCCCTCTCGGAGAGCCCGGCAAGCTACCGAGAGGATCTCGCCCGCACGGCAGAGCCTGGCAAGCTCCCCGTGACGTATTCGAGATGCCAGACACAGTAACCAGTCTCACAATGGAGACGTTACTGGGCCCGCTCGAGCAAATCGATGAACAATGGAAGGACAGTGACAGTGATATATATATATATATATATTTATATATATTTATATATATATTGGGGCCACACCCACCAATGCTCAGGGGTTACTCCCGGCTCTGTGCTCAGGAATCACTCCAGGTGCTGCTCAGAGAACCCTATGGGATGCTGGGGATCGTACCTGGGTCAGCCACCCGCAAGGCAAGCCCCCTCCCCGCTGACCTTAAGGCTCAGTAGTTCAAAACACTATATCTTCCTTATCTGGGGGAGAGGACAGTGATGCGGTCTCCCTAACAGTGCTTAGAAGGTAGCTGAGCCCCACCAGCAATTCTCTGCCAACCAGGGCACTGGGTTACAAGGGCGTGAGGGTGTGGAGCGGCTGAGCCCAGTGGCACCCCTAGCGGTCTATAACCACGTAGTGCCAGGTTCACACTGGTGCGCAATCAATCCCATGCACAAACACGGAGCATGCACCCTAACCATTGCACAATCTTCCAGGCCCCCGGCCATAGTACTTTTAGCTCAATAGAACCCTGGCCCCTGGAGCAGGTGGGGCGTGTGGAGGAGTGGTCAGAGCAGGCTCACCCAGCCCCAGGACCTCTGCAGGGCAGTTTCTCTAGTTCCCACTCACTCGCCCACACCTGTGGCAGCCCCGGAGTACATTCCGCGCTGGACCATCTAGTGGTCCCACCCATGCGCTGGCAAAGGGAAGTGAGGAGGCCACGGGAAGGAGTCTCTGTTGCCCAGACATGGGGCCCTGCCACGTGTCCCACCGATGGCTGGGACAGCATCTGGTTCCCTGACAGAAAACCACCCACAGTGGGATGAGAGCCCCGCCTTGCTGCACCGGGGTCTGTACACCGCCCCCCCACCCCACCCCTCACCGCTTGCCCCCAAAGTCACTCTCCAACCTGCTCTTTCTAATCTGCTGAGACCAGCCAGGCCCAGGTTCCTGGGCACGCTGAAGCCGTTTCCTCGGTCAAAGGAACAGAGCAACTGAGAAACACCCGCTCTGCACCTTCTCCAAGCACTAAAAGAGACAATTCAGAAAATGGGAAAAGTGGGCTAGAGTGAGCACAGAGTGGGGAGGGCACTTACACTGAACACGGCCAACCCGAGTTCGATCCCCGGCACCCCAGATGGTCCCCCGAGCACTGCCAGGAGTGCTCCCTGAGCACAGAGCCAGGAGTACACCCTGAGCATCCCTGGGTGCTGCCCCTCCCCCAACTAAACCAAACAATGAAATGAAAACCAAACAAAAAACCCAAAGGGCTGAGCGCATGCTCTGCGTATGGGAGAGAGCCCTGGGTTTGATCTCTGACACTGCCTGGCGCGACAAGGCCCCCAAGCGCTGCTACAAGGGTCACCCCCCACCCCCCAGCAGAGGGTCTAGGCTAGGCCTTCCTAACCCTGCAGCAGGAATGTTCCCTCTCTGGGTCTCAGTTTTCCTCATCTGTAAGATGGACGCAGTGAGCTCCCAAGAGGAGACAAAGTACCCAGGACCAGGTTTCAGGAACACTCAGCACAGGCTTGCTCAGTACTGGGTAGCCGGGAGCCCCTTCTCACGGAGCCCACAAACCAAAGGCGGGTCGCCAGGCAGCTCATAGGCCGCAAGCCCTGGACGCTCACCCTGCCACACATCCCCGCGGATTCTCCCCTTCTCCCCAAATGAGAAAGTCGGGCGGTGCTCGCGAACAGTCTCCGAGCCACTCCCCAGCCCAGGTTGAACGAAAACTCCCATGACTAGTGTTGAGTAAGTCAAAAGCACACACATCCTGAATATTCATGAAAATGCTGGATGTTTCTAGGAAAAATACAAGAGTGGGGAGGTCGGGAGCTGCATTTTGTTCTCACTTGTTCTCCATCTCTTCGTGGGTTCGGGAGACGACGTGTCTGGGTCCCCCCGGCTCCCCGGGGGATTGACACAGCCCCCTCTCCCCCACTCCCCTCCCCTCCTCTCCTGGGCTCTCCCTCACTAGTAAGTGCTAGTAACTGCTTGGAGAAAAGGGGAACAGAAGCCGGGCGGGAGAGTGTTGTGTGCAAGCGTTTCCCAAAGGGACCCCCAGAGCTCCTGAAATTCAGCCCCAGTCTCAGCTGTGTGTGGCTGAAAACTTCATTCCGAGGACTGATCCCCCCACCACCTGGCACCCCACCCCACCCCGAGCTCAGGCTCCCAACGGAAACCCTGCAAATAGTCTTTGCAGGATGAAGGTTTTCCCCCTCTATCCTGCGGGGAGAATGCAACGAGCCTTGGTCCCCCTCTGCAACCAGAAAGTTTAAGGCAAACCCAAGGCAGGCACTGAGAGAGAGGCAGCAAGACTGACGCCTCTCGGCCCTGACCATCCATCCACCCACCGCTGCCCACCCCCCTACCCCCTCCTCATCATCCCATCAGCCCGGTGGACCTCTTTCTGCACAGCCAGCCCGGAGCATGCCCTGGGCAGAGCTGTAAACAACAGACCCCCCAGTCCTAGACACCAGCCTCCTCGCAAAATGACAGGCAGTGCTGGGGACTACAGCAAGAGGGCTTCCCCTGTGGCCACTTCTAGCCCCCCCGAGGCCGGCAGGCCAAAGCAAAGAGAGAGGCTAACAGGCATCCGCAGAGCTGGGACACCGAAAGAAACGGTTCCCTCTCCAGTGGGCTTGACATCAGGCTTCTTCATTAGGAACCAGCTCAAACAACGGGTCCTCAAAGCATCTGTGGCAAGCTCCACTCTCGCCCTGGGACGGAGGGCACAGTCCCCGCTGCCTTCACACGGGCACACTTCAGGTTCCCCTTTAATAACTTGAATTACAGCTGACCTCAGATCCTGGAGGTCAGCAGTCCCTGGGGAACAGACCCCCCAGCTCCTGGTGCCCTAACTGGGAATAAGCCCAGTCAAGAAGCAGCTGGGGAGGGAGGGAGGAGGAGAGGGGGCCTGGCCAAGCCCACCCCCCTCTCCAGCCCAGGACACCAGCTCAAGAGCTGGAGCTTCTGGTGCCTGTCTCCTGGGGCACCCAGGTCACCCCAGACGCCCTCCCCCCGCCCCCGCCCCCTCACTCCCAGCACCCGCCTCCCCCGGGGGCGCCCACTCCGCGGGGGCGGGGGGCGAGGGACCTCGCCCTGCACGCACTTCCTCGCCCGCTGCTCCAGCAGCCAGGCACTCCGGGGCGTGGGGGAGGCGGAGAAGAAGGGGTTAAGGCAGATGGTGCCCACCGGGAGGTCAGGGAGCAGGGGGCCGCGGGCCAGTGCGGACAGCTCGAGCGGCCTCGGCCCCAGATAAGGGGAGGCGGTCTCTGGTGCTCACTCCCGGGACAGGAGTCGGATCGCCACGGGAAACCTGAGACGCGCTGGCCGCCGGGGGCTGGGGGAGGGGAGGGGAGCGAGGGGGCAGGCGGGCGCGGGGTGGGGGTGCTGCCCCGGGCAGGGGACCCCGCGATGGCGCGGGAGGGGAGTGGGGGCGGTGGGAGGCCACGGCTCCGCCGGGCGCTGGCGCCGGGCACGTAGCGCGCGCGGGGTGGAGGGGCGCCTCGGCCGGGCCGGGATGCAGGGCGCAGCCGGAGCATCCTCGGGTGGGCGCCGCTGGGCGTGGGCAGCGCGGGGCGCGCGGGGCGCGCGGGTCCGGGGCCGCCCGCCCCCTCGGCCGGGGTCCCCGGGCCGCGCCGCCGCCCGCAGCCCGGGAGCCGCCGCTTACCTGCGCCCGCGCGCGCGCGGGAGGGAGGCGGGGGTGGCCGCGGGGCCCGGGCGCGGGCGCCGCCCGAGGGCGCGGACGCGCGGACGCCCCCCTG